TCTGGTCCCTCTTCTTCTTTTGTTTCTGCCAAAGTTTATCGTCGCAACGTGATGCGAATAATGGAACCGAACATTATTCCGTCAGATTTTTCAAAACATACATTGCCCCCCGTGTTTTTCTTAAAGATTTTTCTATATATATATATATATATATATGTATACAAACTTGTAAAGATACGCGCAATCTCGTGTAAACTTTTAGCCGAATATAAAGCCATCACGTTCGCACGCGCGTAAAGTTGCGCGGTCGGGAAATTCTGTTCTTAATTCCTCACTATGCTTGACTCGACCGCATTTTCTAGATTAGATCTCGTCTTGTTCATCACCCACGTTTGTCGTATCAAAAGCGACGAGTGTAACGCGTAATTGGATAAAAATGATACACACGAAAACTCACGCCGGAACAAATAACTCCGTTTATTTTTCGCGCACATAAAAATTTTATAAATTTTTAAGTTTGTTTTAATGTACGCGATATGTACACGTATGTGTGTGTGCGAAGTTACGTATTTTTATTTGACGCAATGAAAAAAGTTACATATTTATACTAGATATGAAACACTTTGGTCCGTCTGCGGAAATTTCACGCTGCGCGCGCGGCGCCGAGATGAAGTCTCTGGAACAACAGCAATACAAAAGATAGCAAAGAATCGTGCCAGTATTTCGTCTAAGTGTTTCTTCGAGAAGTCCGCTGTATCTTGACGATCGCGCTTCATCCGCGTCATCTGCTCGCGCGGCGGGAAATTGCGCGCCCGTCCGGCAAGACGTGGGAAAACTTTGCTTCGCGAAAAAGCACGAAACACTACGCGAATATAGATAGAAAGAAGTAATCGGATCCGGGAGGGATCTATGGATTTTCACGCGAGATATTGGGATGCTCGTTTCGTTGGTTCTTGCGCGACTTAAACTATCGTTCAACGGTAATCTCGCGCGTCTCTTTCGAGCGCGTGAGTTTCGAACAAGAAGACGACGAACGTAAAAACATTTTAGGGCGAAATATTTATTTAAGATATGTTGTTTACACTTTGTGTGTGTGTGTGTGTGTAATGCGGGCATTGTGGTTTTGGTGGCAAGTCCGTCGAGGTGTGGACGTGCGCGATTACTGTAATGGTCTCACAGTGCGGGAGTTACGCTTGTTCATCTTAATATCCGCGTCGCCGCCGTCGCCGCCGTGGGTGGACGAGATAAAGCCTAATCAAGGAGATGCGGTCTTATCCGCGTCGCAAACTGAGACATATTGCACGGTGAAGCTGCGATACGACGATACGTGCGTCGCATAATATGCCAATCATGCGAATCACACCACCCGTAATATCAGTAAATTCACACGCGACAACTTTCTCCCTCCTCCCTCCTGTGACGTCGCATACTCGTTACGAGATCCTATTTTTCTCTTTCAAACTCTGCGCGCGCGATGCAATGCTATTTATATATTGTTTGCGAATTGTGACAACAAAACACTTCAAACAAAACGTTGAAAAGTCAAATAATCGGTATATTTATCAGAGAGATATCTCACCGTTAAGATTCAGTAAATTTTTCAAATCAAATATCATCAAGTATCTCGCATGTATTTTGCCGAAAAAAAGTAATGATTCTCCGCAATGATCCTGGCGCTTGATATTATCATTTATAGAATCACACGCGGAAAAATGAAACGCAAATAAAAACTGCGAGAGAGAAACAGAAAATACAAGACGGGAACATGCAGTGACCTTCAATCTCTTCGCTCGCTGTACAATGCGAGCAATTAGCGAACGTCACATAATTACTGTTCAAATAATAATCGTCCAGTCCAAATGGGGAAACTTTTCGAAAGAGAGAGAGAGAGAGAGAGACAAAAAGAGACAGAGAGCAAGAGAGAAAAAGAGAAAGAGTACGAAAAGTAAAGGTTGAAAATATAATCCTAATTAGCAATCGCTGCGAATACAGATATGAAGTAAAGGTAATTTCGAAATCACAAGCTAATTGAATTCTATGTGCACAGGTGTGCATTACGATCAATGATAAAATGTTGAAAATGCCGAGAACGCTCGTGTGGAGAAATTATGTGTCTTCTTCGGATAAAAGATTGTCGCATTGTGCAGTATAAATGTCCCACAATGTTAATTCATATATAATGTTAATTTATGTGCGACAGTGCTAGATAACGTTGCTAAACTTACGAAAATAAAAGGTAGAATTTCAATTAGGAAATAAACTGTGTGAATGCAAATATGGAACGGCAGCAATTTCGAAAAATACAAGCGACTGCATTTTTTTTGTGTGTACCCATGCACAGGTGCGCATTCCACGCGCATCCGTGCGTTTATTACGGCCTGAGGCAAATAAACGTTTCTACACCAAAAATAAAATTGTCCGTGCCATTTTTCACATGTTTTGTTGATGCTATAATAATTGCGCTCTCCCAACAATTGGCAAAGCGCAGAGACATTTTCCCTCACGTCATTCCGGAATCTCTTTTGTACCAACCTTCATTTATTATTTGCCACACTTTTAATTATAATTCCTAATTGCATCTTTTTTTTTTTGAAAACAAAAGAGTAAAAACAAACGTATTCGCGTTACGTAAATCACAAAATTATGCTAAATTACATATTATTTGTAAATAGTGTAAGTCACACACGTGTGTGTATACTGGTCTGTATCTGGTTAAAAAAAGATGCGGTCGAGAATCAGGATTCCGGCCAGCTGGAACTATTCTAGATCACGCCGGATCTATTTTCAAAGGCCGCACGTCCTACACTCGCTACGGATCTCGATGGCCGTGAAAATTTGAGAAACCATCTCTTTTCCCCGGATTTTCACCCGGGTCTCTTTTGACGAAATAATCAGGCACGCGGAAACCAACCGCGCGCGCGCGCGTGTTCGCGTTTCTATTTACGTTCAATTTAGATTACTTCTATTAAACAACACCGTCTCTGTAGACGACACATACAAAAGACAGGAAATAATTATCTTTGACTCATCGCTGTGTCAATCGAGGTGTCATTTAAGTGCGAATTCGCGCGTGCTCGGCGCTCGAGTACTTTCGACAGAAGCGAACTTTCACGAATTATTATTTCTCTCCCTTTCCGCGAGAAGGAGAAGCGCGACCTGTGTGTCCTCGGTTATTAATTCCGAAATTATGCAATTGTGAAGCACAATAAACGGTCGACGTATTATTAGATATTCCGCCTGGCGTAACTTGACGGTCGACGCTCAAAAGCAACCACGATGACACGGTGCATTTAACGATTTTCACCCTAAAATACAAGAAGTCTCGTTTTTAAATAGCTCGTATATTTTATCCCCTTATTAATAATTACTATTACCGACTAATTGTAGATCATCAGATAGATATAGCTTGATTGCTGCGATATGAAGCTCGAATTGCCGGTTGTCTTAAAAAGAAAAAAAATTGAAATTCCTGACATGACATTAAAAGATGAATTAAATATAAATTTTAAATATAAATTAAATATAAAGCGACCTTTACCGTTTTTTTCTTTAGTTGTAAAAAATAACAAACGAGTAATATGTATTTATAACGGATGTGTAAATATTTACCGTCTCTCTCTCTCTCCTCTTCCTCTTTTTTCTCTTACGTATTACATATTCAAAGTGTCGAATGTCAAAATGGGATATTATTGTTTATAGAAAACATCACACGTGAGACGTGACACACGTTGGAAAATTGCAATTAACAAACCGTCTCTCGCGCCATTTCCGCGAACAAACTTTACACCAAGTTTTTTTTATCATTGCTCGTCGTTGAGCAAATTGACGTTATTATGCGGTTTATCGCAACGGACCGCAATTGTCGAACCGGGTTTGCAATTTCGCAATGTAACGCGAATTTTCCATTTCAATTTAGACAACGTTCAATTTATTTCGTTTACTTTTAATGCCATTTTACAACGATTCACGATTACAATCTTATTAATGCGAATGTTGTGCGAATTTTAATATCTTGAATTATGTGTTATATAATTATTTATATTGTAAAATTTAATTATTACACGTATATATTTCAATTATATACTTCACGTTTTTTTCCTGTTTTGTTTTTTATAATTTACTTGTAGTAGTATACTTGTTTTTTATTTACAAATATAACACGAGAAGCCGAAAGCCGCAAGATAATCTTCATCAAATATTTCAAGTGAGAGTGTTCCTGAACAAAGATAGCTTCTCTACGAGGCACAACGTGCCAAGACAAGGGAAAATCTAATTGCTTTTGCAAAGAGAGGGGAGAAATAAAGACAGAGGATGCTTAAAAAGGCTTTCGTTGCGTAATTAAAATATGAATAAACATACATGTTACTTTGCCTAAGACGCGAACTTCCCATGAATTATTTATCACGAGTTGGTGCGCGCTATTTTCTTCGTAAATTAACGATGCAACGTATATATTTTGCGCAAGCAAGATACAAAACCTGTATTCAAAATATATCTTCGCCAACTTTACAACTGAAATAATAACGTTGCTAGTTTTGTATTTTTAACAGAGTTTGCGACATGTAAACAAACTGTATCGATCAATTTGTATCAGGAAAACGTGTACAGCTTCAATATTTAATTTTCACTTAACGTTTTTTAAACAAAACAAATAACCGCCAGATAACTGTAGTTTTTTAGTCAAAAAAAAAAAAAGAAAAAAATACACACACACACAATACTATACTCTTTATTAGTGTCATCGAATTAAATTTTATAACATAATAAAAAAATATTAGAGAGCATATAATTAATGTAATTATATAATTAATCAAAGAAGATAACTCTCTCTAATATTCCTCTCTCATTTCACAAATTGCTACATAACGCAGAAACTTTTTCAATATTCGCTAAGTCCGCTAAATTGTCACATATGTAGAACATGGACGCGCGCATTTGTTCATAAAAGAGTAATTTAATTTATATCAATCGATATATTAGTCAAAATATTCCAGGAGACTATTCGCTTTCATTTCATAAATAATCAAAAGACAACAAAAATTTACTGACAAAGTCATTACCTTATTTTTTTCTCTCTCTCTTCGTAACCGGTAGTTTCACGACGACTGCACCAGTAGCAGCCTCAGAAAGAAACAGCGATCACAAATATCACAGTCTCGCGATGCTCTAAATTTTACGCGGCGAGATGTCACGGCGTCGCGACACCGGAGAAAAAATCGACAACAATCGTCGTCGATTTAAATTACAAAACGAAACGACACACGACCCGGTTTGCAAACGCGTCACGCGATCACGCAATAATATATGACCGACAGAAAAGCAAGAGAAGAGCAAGAACAGCACCACGTGGTTGTGCAGCTGATGAGACGAAGCTTACGCGACAAAGCACATACAACACCGGCAGCTCGCTGCGCACTGACGCGCCGCCGCGCGCCCCGTTATCACCGTCGGTTGCGCGGTTTGCCTCCCACCATCGCTAACATTCTCGCGCTCACCCTCACGCACGCGCTATCGCCGTATGTAATAATATATATGCGTATATCATGAATTTGTAATCACGTGCTACGCTCGATTTTAGAAAGAGATATACGCTATATAAAACATATATATAAATGTATATATTCTTTTCAATTTAAGTCCTTGAGTATATATGTTTTTGTTCCGTAAAATTGAATATAATTGAAATCTGTTTTTACGCGTATTATAAATATACTTTGTGCAATATACGTATACATATGTAACGCGTAGAAAAGTTTAATATAAACTGAATGTTTACTATCTATTATCTATTATATAAATCTATTATATGCAAAAAAAATGCGTCGGTAACGATTTTTGCTAACAATCTAATCAAACATGAAACATCAAAAAAATAATAGAAAATCGAAGTGTTTTCTATCTCGAACAAATAAATTTCATTGCGGGAAAGTGAAAACATTTGACAATTGGCGCGCGAATTACATTTCGAAAATTTGCTTTTTACCTTTTCACGAATTGATTTCAGTCGAAGGAAAGTTTGTAGTTCATAAAAAAGATATTACGCAGCACATTTCCCGGCCGGTCCAATTTCCAATCACTTTGCCCCGTTTTTTTTTTTTTTGTCGAAACGTACATTCGACAATGACAAATTACTCAACCGATGCAAACTTCGCACGAAATGCATATCACGTTGCTGGCTGTTCTCGTTTTATCAATTTTTATATAGCGCGCATCGGGAGTCGTCATACATGAGATATCATCTTCCAAAAGTTTCAATTTTAAATAACGTAACGTGTATTTATCATAAAATTGAACAGTTTCTTACAATTTAAATCCCATTGACATATTTCTTCGCGACGAAATGTCTCAGGTTTTTTTTTACGAAACACGTTTACAGTTTCGTTTTCAAAATAAATTTGTCAAGGTGTAAAAACTTGAAAAATTGCGACCTATCGTTTTCGTGCATTTTATCTCTTATTTATCTACATATCGATATATCTCGATATCTCGTATCTTATCTAACCACATTCGTATATACATTTCGAAATGCTCGAAGTCGCGAATATTCAGATCAACTTGCATCTTCGTTAAACATTTTGAAGTCAAGGTTCAGTTTTGTTTGTTCACATAGAGCAACACAGATCATCAGATGATTAAAAAAAAAAAAAAAATAAAAGCAAAACGAAGAGATTCGCATCCCTGGAAGACGCAATTCCGAGATAAACATCGAGTATAAAAGTGACATTAAAGTCGAATTGCTCGTATCCTAGCACGCGAAACTTTAACAGAAGCTGACAGCCTTCGTCATCAAAAAAAAAAAAAAAAAATGAAGAGACATCGTAAAGATACCGCGTTTCAACAGTTTCTTTGCGACACCCGATGTACGCCACTGCGCATAAAAATATAATTAAATTATACGACTTGTGTGAACTTGGCACTCGACTTCAAAATTAATTGCTCACCTCATAAATATTATACGAGACATTTTCTCGGGTCAAGCCGCGATTATCAGTATATTTAGTTGTGTCTAAAATAAATTTCTAAGTAAATAAAAAATAATGATACGAGAACGATCACAATACATACGCAAAGTGTATTTTTCACGGATTTGCGAGTCGGCAAGAATATGCATAATTTTGTTTTTGTACAATATTTTGCGTCATTTCACGGCAGTTAATTAACAAACTCTTGTTACTGCGGGGCATGTAAAACGTTTGCATGAAACAATATTTCGATATAAACTTTGTAAAACAAGTATTTTTTCAAGTGTAGCGCGTTTCGCATCTCAACGCGAAAATAATTCGCGAACAATTGTGCAAACAAATGGCACATCTGAGCGTTTTGTTACGTCTTTTTTTTTCACTGTGTGTAATTTGCGCAAATTTATTTTTCATCAATTTTTTTTCCGCTAAAAAAATCACGAATAAATAATAAAAAAACATTTATCGTAATGATAAGAGACGTAAGTGAAAAATATCAATTATATATATACAGTCGATTTTAATGACAAATTAAAAAAATGAAAATAGTTTAATTTTCGAAACCACATGTCTTGTACTTAATTATAACAATATGTGTCAAAGTTGTAATAAAACTCTAACTACTTTATTTAATATGAAAATATACATGTTATATAATTAAAACTGATTATCTATATTTTAAATGATTAATATATTTGTAACAGATAATTAATACCTAATATAATAAAACGTGCGAGATATAGAAAGATATTGAAAGATTTTTACATGCTTTAAAGATTATTTTTTTGTGAATTCGTAAGATCCGTAGTTTAAGATTTTTCCGCATGCATCGCGAAAATAGAAAATCATTCGATCGCATATTTGGTATGCGGAAAAGTACGCGCAAACACAGAAACTTCGCGGCGAAAATTCGGTCGTTCGATTATTTGCTTGGCAGATCAACCCTCTCGTGACCTCACCTTGGAGGTCTTCTCATCGGATTCTCTCTCCCATTTCTTTTATCGTTTTTCTAAAAATATTAAACTGATAATGTTTCTTATTTTCAAAAATTTGCTATTTTGACGTGATTCATATTTTTAATCATTATTTTGCAATTGAAAAACTGCACAAAGTATAAAAACTATCCGTCGGAAGTTTTTTAACGCTTAATTTTTCGCGAGACTTCATATTGGAAAAATGTCATTTATCGCGAGTTTAGAAATATACCTCATAACCTGTATATGCAGTTTAAAAGAAAACAGCGTTTACACGTCCAAAGACATTTTTATTGATCTACTGTCACTTGCAACGCGAGTCGCCTAAAATGTCGCAAAAATCTGCTTTCTAGTATATAAAACGTACAACGAATATGTGAAAAATTGATATGTGGTACGAGTTGAATAGGCAATAAATACTCGTAAAACAGGTTGTCAGATTTGCACGCGAGATGTTATAATAAAATAATAAAAAAAAATAATAATAAAAAAAAAAAAAAAAAAAAAAAAAAAAAAAAAAAAAAAACAAAGATACAGATGTCACAGCGCAGCAAATTTTACGCAATAATGGATGTACGATTTCATCATCACGATTTTCCGCGCTTTTGTCGAACCAATTTCCACGTTGATGATAATAATAATAATTTACGATGATAATAATTTATAATGATAATAATATCTCGTGTCGTCATAAATTTTCTGCGAGATACGTTTTCTGTGCGCATATCCTGTACAGCCTTGACTTCCTTAGATTCGCGAGAGAAAAATCGCACATTTTGATAAAGAGAGAAACGCTGTGTCGGAAGTGAGTAATACACAGCACTTTATACATAACAACATTTATGTATAATATATAGTGTTATATTATAACACTAACCTAAACATATACATGTATGAAGAATTTATCAACAGAAAAGTTTTGGAAAAAAACAGTAATAAATGATACTTAAGAAACCTAAAAGCTTTTAATAGCGAAAATTGAAAAACAACATTCTTATATAAAGAATGTGAAAATGAATGCAATGTGTAAGACTTATTTATTTTTCTTGTTTACTATAGTCTTTTTACGAGTGTAACATCTTTTTTGATGTTATATTGACAAAATTCTCGTAAGTTTGATGTTATATTGACGAAATTCTCGTAAATGATAAACGATATTTACCGATAGCGTTGAAAATTCTACGGTCAGAAATTACTTATAAAAATAAATACAGATGGCATGTGAGAACGGCTGAAGAAAATTGTCGACATAAACATTTTCGATATCTTTGTTTATGTTACAAATATATCTCAAAATATTTACCAACAAGTTGAGTATATTAACGTAGCAACGTTGTTTTAACTTTTTGTAGCCAATATGTATCTCAAATGTATGCGTAACATACCGTCGTTTAAAAAGAACCCCGCAAAAGCGTTCGATCTAAGAACCCTCGTGCGGTGAAAGTGCAAAATTCTAAGTAGGGAAAAGTTATTTTTCGTAATTGGTAGCCCTGGTCTGCTATGGACTCTTTCCATACGCGATAAGATAGCGCGGATGAGAAATCTAATCGTCAAGTGAAAGAAAATCGATTACGAAAATCTCGCGTGTATTTACAATATATGTATACAAACCAGAAACACCGATTTCGACACGAATCGCATTGGAGCGCCGAAATAGGACAAACTCCAAGAAGGCCGCGTAGTGGGGTGTGTACATTGCGGTTGCAGACGATGTTCCGATTGAGCACGTGAGCATTTTCCCTGAAATCAGAAAGTTTTTCTGTTCGTCAATGTACATCGCCATATATTTGTAAAATCGTGCGTCAGCAACTATGTGGAAATGATTATTGTGTGAGAAAGGATACACATAAATTTATTCTTTCGTAATACAAGCACTGTTAGTTAACGTATGAGATTAGCGCGCGTGTCAAGATGTGTATTGCAAAGAAAAGGAAGAAAGTCTTGTAAGACCCGAGATATAGGAACAATAAATTATTTCTATTCACACGCACTTGTTACTTAATTTTTTCCTATGAGATATTTTTTTTTTCACATCAATAATTTACAGCAAGTGGTAATAAAACTAGTTTGAAACTGACAGAATTAAAAAAAAAAAAAAAAAATATGCTTAAATAACTCGATTCCTATAGTCAACTTTGACAGCTTTTTTTCGCAGCACATTCCTTCATGAATAAAAACAAAGGATGTAGCAAACGAAAATTATCAGCCAGTGTCGTTCTTATCGCTCAAAATGGTCCGCGAATATTAGCGCCGTGTCGAAAACATTTATGTTCCGCGATGTCAGTGTACTTTTAATACATCATTTTACATTTATTCGTCAACGCGTTTATACGAAACAAACAAGTTCGAGTTTACTCACAGTATTTTCCTCTTCTTCGATTTCGCGTAATCTTGATTCCCGATGACATTTCTCTCCCTCTTTCTCTCTCTCTCTCTCTCTCTCTCTGCCAAACAATTTACACAATACGCAACAAACAAATACTCAGGCAAAACACATCAACAACAACGTCCGTAATCAAACGCATAAACAAAACTAGGAAAAACACTGCGATGCCGGTCGCGCGACTTATGAAACACTCTGTACAATGCGTACAACATCTTTCAAAAGAAACGTGACAATTTACATGCAAACCGACCCTGTTTTAACCCGCGTGTTCGACTGGTACCACTGGTACCGCTGGCGCGCGAGTTACGATTGTCGGTCGGAGGTTAAGTTCTTTCATGGTGCACGAGACGTTGTGTCGCTAATGCGCGGACGACTGTGCGAATTCGCGCGTAAAGAACGTCTTGGATCGGTACCGAGGCTGTCGGGTCACCAGAAAAACAAGAGAGACGATCATCGCTGGCGGCGTGACAGCGCTGCCGATTCGCGCGGAGTTGTCGAACGAGAGGAAGGAGGTTAGACTATGGCGAAGTACCTGATACAAATCATCGTAATGGGCTCGCAGGTCGTCGGCAGGGCGTTCGCGCGTGCGTTGCGCCAGGAAATTGCGGCGAGCCAGGAAGCGGCGCGACGGGCGGGCGGCGGTAAACAAGGCGCGCAACACGCCGCTGCCAATACCCGGACCGGAATCTCGTTGGACGAGGCGCTGCGTATCCTGAACGTGGATCGTTCTGATCAGACGGATCTAATCGAGAAAAATTACAAGCATCTCTTGGAGGTCAATGACAGATCGAAGGGCGGTTCGTTCTACCTGCAATCCAAGATTGTCCGTGCCAAGGAGCGCATTGATGAAGAACTGAAAAACCTCAAAGCGTCAGCACCACCACCAGGATCGCGGACAAGTAGTCAAGAAGGTTCCAAACAGCCATAACGACTTGCTACTAATCTAAATTATTTACATTTCTAGAAACTCTGTACATAATAATAAATAGAGAGTAAAATGTCCTTCTGGTATGTTGATCAGAATGACTTAAGCTAACTGTTGTTCATTCACTGTAAAAAAATCTTTATAGATGATTCAATATCATTGTAGAAATATAAATTTGATCATATAAAGTTTAAGATGTATATTTTTTTAAGTCTGTTGTTTTTAATATTTAAGAGTTTTAAGAATAAACTGAGCTTCACCAAACGACAAGATGATTCGTGAACAAAGAGCTATTGCATCATGTTGTGTAAAGTAAACAAGTTGAATATAGTTATAAGTATAAATATATAATCTTTTTTGGAGATACATTAACTTGTGTACAATGGTCGTATAGAAGTTCTCGCTTTTATACGAGACTTTAGTTAATCTTTTAAATAATATACATATACATATAGAAAGAGTACTACTTCGTTAAACCAGCTACTTTCGCATCTTCGGGTTCAATTCTATTCTGTTCCAGGCGTATGATCAGTCGCTCTCGATTGTGGTATACAGACCAATAACTTGGCAAGTGTTTCGGTTGCATAGAATCGAGAAAATGTTCTCTCCACAAACGTTCCAATTCAACAAGCCCACCCTCTCGATTTTGAAAGTATTGTACCACCTGGAGCAACACAAATTATTTATACACGCGTATATTATAAATACGTACCACACACAGAGACAAATAGAGAGAGAGAGAGAGAGAGGGGTCTTTATTTATCAAGAATAATTACCTTCAAGCCGTGCGGCTGTTGTTTATAGTGACTAGGAATAGGTTGTTGGACCAGCGCGTTCGTAACCTGTTCGTTCAGAACATCGAGAAGCTCTGGTGTGATCTTTTGTTGCCCGGTATAATCCAGTATGTATCTTTCGAGCTCCTCGCGCCGCTGCTGCGGCAACAGTCGTTTCCTCAGGGCTTTAATAGCCGAGTGCAATTTTCGATAGTGATTTAGGTATTTTTCTCGCGAGTGTGCCATCGGTCCAATCAACGGCGCATTGCATATATCCGCCAACTTTTTTCTAAGCTGCAGATCGTTGTTGCTGCTGATCTCATGACATTTGGGACACAACAGCAACACATCATGAGATTGATGTGCCTTCATTACCACTGAAAGAGAAAATTTATATATTCGACACTCGAAGATATGTTATATAGATATTTGTATACACACACTTCATTGCGTGTGCAAACAAAAGATACTTACGCGGGAAATACTTTCGATATTCCCGCGGCACAACGTTCTTCCTGATAAATTGCTCCTTCTCTCCGCAGACTACGCACATATTGACTTTCGCCTGCGTGTAGTATAGCCCAACTTCTCCCTGTGCTCGACCGGACGGCTCGAAATTCAATCTCACTGTAAACGGTTCTTCCTCCACAATTTCGCCCAAATCCTTTGAAATATACCACTCCGCTTTTTTACGGTCGCATGTACACAATATATCTCCATCAGGCGCTTGCAAGTAACAATTATGATATAACGGCTTAATCCTAGTAGGTATTTGACTTTTACGTTCGGCATTATTATTTTTATCCATAATCAGTGATTTTTTCTTTAATAAAGCATCATTGGCAGTGACACTAAGTGTCTTCTCTGCACTCGGTGATTCGTAACTATTGAACCTTGAACAGAAGTAACAGTTTTTTTTTTTTTTTTTAATTTCAAAAAATGCGAACATACAAATAATTATGCAAACTATTTGTGTTTTAAAAATAAATACAAATTCTAATTATATATAGATGTGCTTTGATACCTCGTATCGACTACTCCAGCAGGCAAGCCGTGAACCCGAACATTTACGTCTTTGCTTAACATATTGCATAAATAATTTATTAATTTTTCCCATAATGAATATTTTGCTTTCTCTCTCTTCAATATCTGTAAGAAAAACAATTTTCGCGATGTAAAATTTAAAGGATTGCTTTGAAATAAATACGTATGACGCGGTTTCAACTCCGGTTCCTTACATTACGATAAATGCTAAGAGACGTGAGTACATCACAAGTAGCATATTGCACTTGTTTGTCGGATAAGGTGTCAGCGTTCCAGTCGCTGCACCTCACATCTATCAGTTTGTCTATATCGAGATCAAGATATTCCAAACTCATGGCAGCTAAGCTCTTACGGCATGGTAGACGAAGGCTCAAGGCTAAAGTTCTCAAATCAAGAGCTCCGTTAAACACGCAGTCATAGTCCTTGGCTATTTTTTGTCCATCTTCGTACGAAGAGACTCCAACTTTAAGAATGTATTTGCTAGCTAGCAATTCCTGAACAAGTTATTATTAGATATTATTAAACATTGCTTTCTAGTTTTTTCTTTTCATCTAGTGTTTTACATAAGACTGAACAATGATTGTATATATATATATATATTTTTTTTTGTTTTATAAAAATAGATAGTTCGTACCTTGAGTTTCTTTGGAATAAAACCGATCTTTCCAATACGAAACAAAACAACTATTCCAGTGTAAGTGGACAATTGCAGGAGGGACACAGGTCCTTCTTTGACCCATTCACAGCCAAATCCCAGCACACCTTTAGAGAGATTACTGTAAGAGAAAAAAACGCACACAAGTACATAACTTTGCTAATAATTTTCGGAAATTATCGGAAAAGTGAAATATAATTAAGGAAGGAAATATTTTTTTTACATATATATTATACAAATAAAGTTTTTTCAAACTTCCTGATTCAAATTAAATTACGAAAAAATTACAAAATAATAAATTTTAGTTTTTGCAAAAAAGAAAATTGTAAGAAATATATAAAGAGTTTTATTATTTTCTCTTTCTCTCATAAATTGTTAATTTTTCTCGCGCGCGTTAAATACGATAACATCAATATGTTGGATCTTTCTTGAATTTCGAGAACACTTTAGACATGTTGTTCTTCGTGTTCGTACACGAACATTCACTCGTATCTGAATAGAACTGTTTTCAAGAAAAAAATGTAAACAATAATCAGTCGTTTCCTTCATGTTTTGCAAACGTTACAAGGGTCTGTAACGACTTCTGTTCAAATATTTGTGAATGCTCGTACAATCACGTAATAAGAATATATGTGCAATTATATATGTGAACAAAATATATTTTCTAATTGGGAAATTAAATTTATACGACAAAATAAAAAATTACAATATAAGAATGTGAACAAAACTGTTTTTTCTTTTTTTTTCATGAAAAATATTATAAATTTCGGTATACTTTACCAGCGAATAAGCTGTACAGCACAATCGCACTTCTCTGGAGAGTCTGCCACAATAATTTTATCCAATACAAGATGAATCTTCTCTTTGTCATCGTTATTGTCGTTATTTTGATCAGTACTTTTATCAGTAATATATTTCTCTTGCTTAGCTTGTTTGGTTTTTTTCTCCTTTATCTTATCCTGAATCTTTATATTTTCATATAAATGTTTGACGCTGCGAAGTACGTTATTGCGATACTTCGATGCCAGGAAAACCAGTCCGACGGTCACGCAAACGAGAAACATATTTTTTCGCTCAGGAATCATGAATTAAAGAGAAGAAACGTGCTTCAAAAGACACGTAAGATTCTATTAATTAAAAATTACCGTATATGTACAATTTCTTCGTTATTTAATATAGGATATATTATTTATTTATATGTACACGCGAAAAATTAGATCTCTTTTTCTTTTTCGCGTTACAACTTTGGAAATATATTTAATAAATAATCGATTATGGACAAAAATTTTGTTCACTATCACACGGATTGTTCCGAATGTAACGTATACGACGTTATAATTAATCGAACACACGATATACAAACATTACACAAAAATATAAAATTTTAACGTAAATCGAGTGCACGGAGAAAGTTTTCAACATCTAAATCTACGGAGTACATTGAAAAAATCGCTAAATTCTATATAAAAATCATTTCGGGAACCCGCTCCGATCCATCGATTTTCAGCGAACGAGGTTCAACCCCGTAGCTATAAACAACGACGACGCACGCGGCTACGGGAATCACGCACGACTGACGAACTAGACCGCGAATCGAGCAATTTATCAGCTTTGTACACGGAAGAGGGAGAGCGAAAAAGAGATTTTACAAAGAGTAAACTAACATGTACGTAAATACATCCCTATAGTTAAATTAACTGCAAACATAACTTTTATTATTTCCAATTCATTTTTCTTCCTTTTTTTTCCTGGGTTTTTTTTTTTTTTTAATATATTGTTGGCACTGCAGATTGTGAGTCGATTCGAAATGTGATCTTAATTTTCAGAGAATTTCGGAGCGGAATTTCTTCAATCAAAAACTCGAAAGTTCCTTGATTCTAAAAAACAAAAAAAAAACTAATTAAATAATAAGTTTGTTGTGTTTTTTACTTTTCAGAACTGCACCAGTTCTAAATTATTTTTGAAATAAAAGTTTACGCGAGTGTAGGATAAATTCAAAACTTCATACGGGGTATAACAAACGCCATAATACAACAATCATCGTAGCGGTTCGCATATAATATAGGTAGTATGGATTAAAAAAAATAATGATATAGCTTCAGACTTTTTTTTTTCTCACGGTTTATCAATGTCCATGCCATTTTTAAATAGTCATCATTGGTGCTATAGCTAAGAGAAGACCTTTTTTCTATTACTTTCGTGCGGATTGTTAGTGTTAGAAAGGACCTACAATTTTACGTGGACTCCGAACCACCGGAAATGTGAATATAAACACATTTCAAATTTAGAGAATCTCATGACAGAGATGTTATCTCGGTGAGCTTATTATTCGAGCTTATCAGACGGAGAGCGACCTGTGAAGATCCGAACACAATTTTGCCTGAATTCGAACCTGAAATAATCTTGATTACTGATTCCGCACAAACCAACTGAGCTATAGGTCGCTCCTGGATTTGTTGCTTAGCGAGTATCTAATATACCTTTTTGTTATGACCTATACTCTTTTGTTTGACTTATTATTTTCTTTGCGATATCTGGTTTTGAATGCTAAAGAAGAATTTTATAAAGTTTAAAACTGAATTTTATTTTAACTTATATAAGTTTTGATTGACACACACACACACACACACACACATTATAATATATTATATTATAATATAATTATAATATAATATATTATAATATATAATATTTAATCAATTAAATTGCTAATTATTAAAAATTAATTTGTATTTTTATAAAAAAAAATTATTGCTGTTTAATATACACGATATACATATGAAGACCACAGAGAAAGAACTTGATAAGTTACATTTTCGTAATTTTGGAGAAGAGCGATTTTAAAGTTCGAAAAGTATATGTACATATTTCTGTGTTACACGTTTGATAAAAATATTTATATCTCGGAATTTATCAAGAATTTCCCTTTCTTGATTTGGATAATTAAAATAATCCATTTTCGATCTATTACTCGTGCATAAATTATTTTTACAAATGTAATTGTAAGAATTTGTTGCAGATGCATTTTAATATCTTTATACGTAAAATAACGAAGAAAATTGATCAAATTAATTAAATTAATGATAAAATTAAGGCTCAGGTAGTTTCAAAAAAAGCAATTTATTTATCTATTTGTTTAATCACAAGTTAGTTCAGTTTAAAAAGTTAATGATAAGACAGAATATTATTTTTTGTTTTTTTTTTAATAAATACGCGCTTTTTATGTTTTTATATTTTCGCGCTAATTCTATGGTTCAGAACTAGTGCAGAACTAGAGTTGCTACACTTTAGGGTTTGTTTTACGTCCGATAAAAAGAACGTCTGTACACACTTTTTTTTACATAGTTCAGTCTTGAGATATGGAAAAAGAACAAACCTGAAGACCAACGCTTGCGACGTGGCTTCAGTGAGATCATGCGAAAATTATTGATTTTTACAATAATCTCACCTAAAGAGTGTGACGGTCAAAAGCCGATGTTTTTTTAACACTTCAAGACTTGTGTCGAGATCACGTTGCTTGCTATTCTTATACATATATTCTTGCTATTTCCTTGAGCAAAAATCTTACGCTTGCGCGAAGTAGATTGAATGCGCATGATCAGGACTGCGTATGTTCCAAAATCATGTTCGTTGGGTAAAGTAGCGTTTGATTTACCAGTCAGAACAAAAAGAGCAAAGATTTCTTTATCCCGATTGGTCCGATGCCATGTAAGATGAAGCTTAAGAGGAGGTGAGGAAAATAAAGTGTTCGTTGAGAGGAATCACTTTGCGCGTTTCTGAGAATACTTTAGGATCCCTTCATTTATTTGTACTTTCATGACGTCGTCTTAGGCGGGATTCGTGGTTTCGTTTTATAGGTTATGCAGATAATTATTTACATGTGAAATTTATTCTCCTGTCTTGAGTGTCTCTCATTAAGGCTTGAATGATGATAACCTGCGCGATCAAAGGTTGTCCCTCTACACAGTTCACAAAGATAAATGGCGATCAGATATCGTTCTTTGCATTTCCAGAAGATGATGGGTTAGTAGATTCTACTTCATGATTGTAATGTGAGATGCGGTATCAATTATTGTATTGTGTTGTTTTAGAGTAAGGAATCAGTGGCTTGAGAATTGTAATTTAGCATCTGGCATCGTTAATGATGCAAAGACTCCATATCTTTGTGAACTGCACTTTGAAAAGGTTGATTTTACATCATCCAAAGATCTGAAAGCAGAAGCTGTTCCCACATTGTTTGGCCACATAGAAGGTAAATCTGGATACAAACTTAAATGTTCTTGTAAAATGTTAATTATTTGGTGTGTGTGTGTGTGTGTGTGTGTAATAATACAAATGTGTTTCATATACATACATATGCATATTATATATACACAATTTTATAGAACCCTCAAGAAAACGTTCAGCTGAAGGTACACCAGAAACTACAGTGAAAAAAATGTCCTTTAAAGATGAAAGCTTGAATGAACAAATTGTAACAGTATCAGAAAGTTCACCTTTGCAACATGATGTAAGTTTATTTTGTGACAACACATTTCTATATTGAAACAATTGTGCAACCAAACAATATTTATATTTGTGTTTTAGGTCGCAAAACAAAATGATAAAAGTAAAACGAATATATTAGTTGATAGTGAAAGAGATATGAATGGTTGTGACACAAGTTTTGAACATGAAAAATCCAAAGAGAAAAAGTCAAAGATATATCGTCTGACTATAAGAATCGATAAGATACGAAATATATCAGTTCTGAAGAATAAGCCTGTAAGTTTTACAGGAACAGAGAATATAAAATCTCAAGAGTTAGAAAATCGCAAAAATATCTGCAAGAACAATAGTTGCAAACTGAAAAAATGCTTATTTTATTCAAAACCGGCACTTCAGTGTGAAGTGTGTAAAGAATATTATTTTCAAAAAGAAGAAGACACTTACTCGTGTTCCGTGTGTTTCGAGACTTTCTCCACTCCACACAAGTTGTTCATTCACATTAGGAAACATTTTACCTGTGAAATTTGTCTTTTAGAGAGTGACTCTGAAGCAGCACATGAGAACCATCTAATATCACATAATAGTAACGATCCGTCAAATCCGTTCAAATGCAATCAGTGCTACAAAACATTTGCCTACAAAGAAAAGGCCAAGCATCATTGCTTGAACGAGCACGTCAAAGTGAAGTTACCGACCAATGTAGTTCAAGTTAATTCACCATCTGTAATTTTGCCACAACAAATAAACTACCAATGTGCACACTGCAAGCTTAATTTTAAGACCGAACAATCTTACAAGTAAGTTATTTTGTGTTTATTATATATGCGAATAATATATAATTTCTAAGATATAGAGTTCTTTTTATCTTTTGTAACGTATATGCATTGGGAACATTTTTTTACAGTGATCACTTAAAATCTCATAAAACAAACGAAGACATAAAATATAATATGAGCGATACCAACAACATAATCGCGGTCCCGAATTCTTTGACTGGGAATCAAATAGGTATCCTTCAGGCGGTGAAGTTTAGCTGTCGGGTGTGCCAAAAACAATTTGACAATGTCGGCGAAGTTGACATACACACCAAGACTCACTTGAACGAGAGAAAATCCTTGTCTCAGGATGGACTCAAGTGTAATATTTGTAAGAAAACTTTTACAGACAATGTTGTATTTGGTGAGCACTTGAAACATCATTTGTCGCGCGCGTATCCTTGTCCAGTTTGCTCAAAAGCCTTCATAAATCGAACCACTTTGAAAGCACACTTAGAAACGCACTCTAAGTCATAGCGATTTTTCTAAAATAGGTATTAGAGTGTGAATATACTTTGATTAAACAATGAAAATAATGACAAAAATGATGTCAAAGATAATATGCAAATTTACTATTTTGCGTGAAGCACTTTTTATTTTGAATATCGATTCTTTGCACTAGAAAAGTTTGCTAAATGTCTTATTGTTTGCAGATGATCGATATATAAAATTTATATTTATTTTATTATATTTTTATCCACTGATTCGGGAATAACTTGAAGTATATCGTTTAGAAGTGTGTTTATTTTGATAACTTGCAGCTTCAGTAGAAAAACAAACACGAATAGAAATTTATAATCTACTCTCTTTGCATGAAGTCACGTTTGGCAATGACTAATTAATTCTTTTTTAGAAGAGAATTAAGTTATTTGTATTTGAATTATAAAACTGTGCTTTACAGCGCTTGTCTCTATTATCATAATTCGATTATTTCTTATCGAAATGTATAAATATATTATTACTTTCTCGTTTGAACGACTTCGTTTCAACGATTATTTAATATTAAAAAAATAAAAATATTTGTCTTTAAAAATTACGACACGCGCGCGAAGATTTATATTTTCGTACGTTGTTTATGCACATATATGCATATGCATGTTACATATGAATACGTATATGTTTATATATGTATATATGAAATTCCTTAAACATAAAAATTATCTTAATACACCAATGTATTATATAATAAAATATTACAATTTATATATTTCTTTGTTTTTATAATCGTATAAGATAAAACGAAAAAAAAAAAAATTACATGTGCTATAGAAGTATTTTATACAAAATGTAAATAAATAAATATATATTCTTCTCTTAAATGTTATATTGATATTTCCGCGTACAATGCCGAAAATAATAGAAATAACAAGTGCGAGATAGAGACTCAAGACTGTCAAAAGTTAAGCGTAAGGCGAGTGAATGCGTGAATGAGCGAACGAACGTTGATAATAGCGTCCTTTGAGGCACCGCGATGAAACGCGCGCAGAATGATCGTGATTTTTACACGTGGAAAGAACATTCAGAAGTCACCGACGATACGGAAGGGGCACCTGGAGAGAGGAACCGCCCCCGGAATCCAGAAAAGATGCCGACGACCCGCTGCGGAACAATCGCGCTGATGTTCACGGGTATGCCCACTGTCAACGGGGACCACTTCAAACGTAGCCGACCTCAATGTGTTTATTTAGCTAACGTCAAATTTACTTGTGGAAAAGGGGGAACTCGAATCGATACGTCGCGCCGACACCTCGCCGCCTGTTTTTGTGTCGCCCCGAGAGATACAAATCCGATCGTTTTGTGTCGCGGAAGACATAATAATAAGATCACATTGCAGCCGCGGAACGCGGCTCGTGTTTTTTCTCATTGTGGTGCCGATGTCGGGCTCTTGAACTTCTCATAGAATGTGCGAATGAGTGAATAAAAGATTATTGATGTAATGTATAATAAGAAATATATCTTATTTTAGAAAATAGAAAAAATCATGTAATTATTAAAATTAAATTATATGTATTGCAAGAACTTTGACTCGTTATTTCGATCGTTCTAAACTGTAATTTGACGAAATACGAGTGTCGAAAAAGTCTTAACTTGCGTATATTTTATATGTTACATGTAAAATATATTCGAGAGAAATAAAAAAAAACTCGTTTCAAATATATGTTCCATTTTTAAATTTAATTGTAATCTTATTCTCAAATTACTTTCTTCCTTTATTTAAGACATTTCATCTATATGTGACAATTATGTTTATTATACACGATATGTTTATTATTTGTGTGTGTGTATGTTATTCACGTTCGAAAACAGAAGTCTAATAAATAAGAAGCGAATACATAAGAGGAGCATTCTTAAATCTAGTTTTGGGTCTCTCACGTACATCTATTATATTACAGTGAGCACACAAAGGCGTTTAGAAACGCTCCGTTACGTTTCGAATGACGGCAGTTAAGATATGGTTAAAGATACAGCGAGAAAAAGTTCAAGAAAGATTTCATAAATTCGCCATGGACCTCCGTGTGATCGCTAAACGACGACGTGTGCGTATTGCGTTGTGCACGCAGCACCCGTAGAAAAACCGTAGGATCGAGAGTAGCAGGAGGGTTGTCGCGTGACGAATCTCGCAACTTGCCGTAAACGTTTTTGGATATCCCGAAATAATCCGCGAAACACATGTCTCAATCTACTTCCATTTAGCACAACTTAATGCACTTCTGTAGGATCGGAACAAATGCTAATACACACATCAGACAAAAATCGCAATTGTAATCTTACAAAGCCAAGAAAAAATTGAAAAGAAATTTGGTGTATTTTTTTATTTGTTAAACAACACAAACGTTCTTTCAAAAGAAGTTATAAATTGTTACAAGACGTTGTGTTTTTCAATTTTATTTTGTTTTTACAGTATTTTTTTGTTGTATTATTTAAAGAAAGATACATTTTCCGTTAATATATACGTATGCTGGATAAAAATAAGAGAAAAACTCCGGCGCAGAGCATGTCGAAGACCGTCAGAGCACCTGCGGAAAACTCTTCAAAAAGAGATATCCCGCTGCTAAATTTGCGCGGCGCTATTCGTCAAAAGGGTTGTTCGGTCACAAAGCCGCGCGGCAAATGTGCTAATTCACAATCGCGTCAAAGTGACCAACACTTCGCCGCCAAGAGAGGCGGATTCAACATTCTCCACATGTTTATTCGCGTCGCGGAACAGTTTTTGTAACGTTTGGTTTCTTCCAGCTGTGTCAAAGTGAATATTTTTTTGTGTTACATTTTACAAACAAAACGATCGTAATTTATATAAGAAATATTTATAGTTTTGAGAATAATTTCGAGAATCATACAACATTTTCACACTTTTATCTTTATCTCTTTTTTTAAAACCACATATTTATGTGTCATTTTATTTTATTTTTTTTATCAAGTCTCACACCTCGAAAGCACTCTCGTCGTATTTTATAGAACAGTTTCTAAAGCACGTGTGTCATCTAACAAAAAAACGCGAGGCGCTGCCCAGAAAAACCACAAAAAAAGGGGAGCATTACGATCTCATATCAATGTTCGCGGACACATATGTTACGCGCGGAGTGTAAACCCGTGAAAAATATCCATGACTTCTTGACTTAGAGAACGTTGAAGGGAAAGACTGAGGTCGATCAAAGAAAGAGGAAAAGCATGTTCGAGAGAAAAGACGAAGGAAAGGAGAGGAGGGAGGGAAAAAGAGAAAGAGAGGAGCCTCTCTTTCTCGGTGCCGGGCACGGGCCATCTGGCAGAACGATCTTTTATTATGGTCTTTTATTACGGTATCTATTCCTCCTCCCGTGGAACGACGGAGGATTCACTCGCGCGGAAGTTGGATCTTTGATTAATGGACGGTGAGATAAACTCGCGTCGATTCCCCGATCGATATTGACAACGCGCGAAAGCGTCACAATCATTTTGCGTCAGCTACTTTTAGCGAATGTCGATTCCGATGTCAGTTTGTAAAATAACAAAATAAAATTCCGCTTTTGTAGAAATGTTACAGGTTTTTGAAAAAAGAGACTTGTAATGTAAATAGCAACATGGTTACAACAAATGTTTTATTCACTCCGGAAAATGTTTGAGATAAGAAGTGAAAACGCATAATTTATTTTTCGTTTTTCTTTTAAGTTTGTTTTTTCGAAAAAAAAAAAAAAACAAGACTCTCGTGTGTAAACCTCGTGTTTTACGACAGAGAGAAACACTTTTTTGGTGACATAAGCGGAGCGTCACGTCACGTCACGCGCAATTGTTCGGTGGCTGCTGGATGGTCGGGTGACTGGCTGACTTTCTCCGGGAGTAAGAGAAGCACCCCCCGCACATCCTTCCGACGTATCCATGAGAGTACCAGGGTTGAGCCCCATAATAGCCCCTCGACCAGATCCCACCCTCTTGGCGAACAGAAAAGCCTTGAAAGTGTGCACAACCGCAAAGTCGCCGCCCCTCGGATGGCGGGGCGAAATTTGATTATGCCCCTTCCGCGTGGATGAACCCGGCGAGATTCATCGGCGGGGACCCGCCAATGATTTATGCCACTTTTTTCTCCTCACCGCAGCGACAAGTTGTCTTTGTCGCCGTTGGCTGCCGTGCGTGCACGCGAGCTCGCGCGCACGCACATCCCCGGCAGAGTTTTATTTATATCCCGCGAGGTAAAAACCGAGAAGAAAGAGAGAAAATTCAGTTAAACCGAACGCTTCTAACGTCAGCGAAACAGTAAAACAAAACGGAATATTGATTTTAGAATTCATTTATTAGCGCGGTTTTTATAGTCGACTTTGAAAATGCGAGAAGTGTGAGGAGATTCACAAAGCGCGCGAAAAAATTGTTTGCGCTGTGTCTGTCGCAACGTTTTATATGCATATTTTTTATATGACTTTTTTGTCGAATCGTAGACACGGTAACTCTCGAAAAACCACAGCAATCTGCGAAAAAAGTGCCTTCTCTCAATAAATTCAGTGGAATCGGGTAGAAATCTATAATATTTGTAGTCGCGCCTGATCAATCATCGGTCATTGACGGATGTAACAATGAAGCTGCAGGAAACGATGGTATACGAAACGAAAACGGTGCACCCACGATCGCTCATGTTTTTTTTCTTCGTTTCAATTGCAACAGACCAATTTCTGGCGATTGTGTACAGAATACAGAGCTATCATGCAAAAAATCTTCATCTCTCTCATATGATCGATCTTTTAACACACCGTTTTGTAACACGTGCTCTCAATTTAAGCGTGTCTGTTCTTTTTGCGACATCAGAGTCAGTCTTGAATAATATCTCTAGAAACTTTCAATACAAACTATTTTTATTCGACAAAACAGGGTTAAAAATATTAGTTAAATATATTACATCAATAAATAACTTGTCTGTGATAATTTTATTATTATTATTATTAGTATATTATACATATATTGTGTGATTTTTAATTTCTTTTTGTGTGTGTTAATTTTATATTTTATTTTCCTAATTGTTTATTTTCTTATTTTGCAATCTACGATTTATGAAGTTAGAGTACGTATAAAATAAAGAGGAGAAAATCAATTGAAAATCAATTCAAGAACTTGCGTAAATCGAGAATGTTTCCGAAATTAAAAAATCCAACAGGTAAAGAGAAACTCTTCTCGGTTGACAGAAATTCGCGATACCTGACTAGATACAATCGTTGAGTCAACAGTTACGTGCCTCCGTTCGGCTTGTTGCCGGAGACGGTAACGTAACTCTGACACACAAATGTGTCGAATGGCCGTAACTCGTTGTTGTGACTTCCGTCGACCGAAGTAAGACGGATCGGAAATTTTTCGTAAAGAAAAACCGAGGTAACTTCACGGATCGATCCATCATCGGGCTGTCATAAATTTTGCTCTTAAACGACAGCAATTTAAACGGTACGCGAGAAAATGAGAAAAACTCTGAAGAATTGTAGTTCTAGAAAAGAGATTCTTGTGAACTTATCTCTCAACTTTCTCGATCCACGGAAATCGATTTAGGGTAACGTACATTAATTAAGCTATCAAAACTTGAGCGCGTCAATCCAAATGACGCATCGTGACTGACGTTTCGCGTCTTTACGAAAACCCAAGTTTGCGCTCGCGATCGATCAAACGTAGTAGATATAAAGATAATAAAATCAAGATCCCGAAAAGAGAAGAGAGATCTTGTATTTTAAAGCGGAGAAATCGTGAATTGAACAAAATCGTCATTACGCATCATATAGAGACGCTACTCGAAGCTTTTCAGCTTCAACGGGATCATCGCAAAACGAGCGTCGGCGATGACGTTGTGACGAATGCGACAAAGGGCAGAACCCGGTATCAATGGTCCCCGGCCGGTTTTGTAGGAACATCGTTTTGACAGAAGGGTGTCGTCACGCTAGGTGGAAGCGAGACAGACGACAGATGAGGGGAGGGTGGGTGGGAGATCGGCGAACGCGGTTCTCCGTTTCTCGGAGGGTATAGAGCGGCAGTTCTCTCTTTCTCTTTCTCTTCGAGTGTTACAATAAATCAACGACGTGCTTTTGCGAAGCTCCACCCTCGGAGACCTTTGCCGTACATACGTATATATATATATATACGTAGGCGATATATCCCATACACACATTCTGCACCCCCGTACGACTCTGCGGTCCGGACTCTGTGCGTTTCGGTCCTCATTGTGTGTAAAGTGGCCTGTCCGTCGATCTCGGAACGGGTGAGCTCCTGTAAACAATTTATTCTTTCAGTCTGCGCGATCGACCGTGAGCCATTCGCGTCTGGCTAAAAGTAATCGACGAAATTAAACACAGCAGAGACGCAATAAAATCTTATTTGTTAGTGTATTTTCAGAAAATTTAATTCCTATCTCTATAAAAAAAAAACAATAAAAAATAAACTTTTTTCTGTCTACATCTTTCTCGTGTTACAGACACGTTAAAAATATTTGTAGCACACGTATTTTTTTTTAAGAACCATTGACAACAATATTCGAATCAAAACTATTGTTGTTGATTTTGATGAGAAACACATTTCGATATCTCCCACGCTTTCTCGTCGGAGACCAACCCTTCCAAGGCTAAAACCAATCATCGTTGGTGTCAAATTTCTCGTCACAGGCGTGTCCGTCAAAAATGGTTCGAAGAAAAGCAGCACGTTCGATGCGAGGACGGGGTAAGTCCCGCGATAGGTTTTCTCGCGACCCCCTCGATATCGTTCATTCGTATCGGACGCTCTGCGTCGGTTGCCCCTCAACGACTTTCCACGCCGATCGTCCGCGCGTCCCTCCTGCCTGCCCTCGTGACAAAAAGGGCGAGAGCCCCGCGCGGCCGCAGCGAGCGATTAATTCACTACAAAGGGGCTGCGTATCGCGCATCGAGCCCTCGACAGGCCCCTCTAAACCCACCTTCGGCCCTACTGCCAAGGGCGTCCTCGCCCTTAGCCTTCTCCCGCCGACGCTTTTCGGGGGGACGAACCAATCCTCCCTCCGTGAAGAGGATTGGTTCGACCCCCGAAGGGTCGTCGGCAGTGGGAAATAATTCTATATAAGGTCCGAGGCGAGTCTAGATATTCGTATTCAGTGACTTTCGATGGTCCGCTTCGTCGTGTCGATGTATCCCGTTCGTGAACAGTGTCGATAGTGAAGTACCACGTCGCGGGAAAATACTATATGTATAGAGCGCATCATCATTCTCGACAAATATGTCCGAGCTGAAGACCAGCAGCTTCTTCCGACCCTGGCACAGTCCGGAAGCTGGGAACGAGGCCTCCGGGATCGTCACTGTTGACAACACACTTCGCAACACGTCGTGTACCACGCAGGACGACGACGACGACGACGAGGAGAGTATCGTGTCCTCGGCGACCTCGACGAGCTCGGCGACCGTCGAAACATCCGAGAAGTATGACGTAGGTCGTTTCTTGGATCACGGCACGACGGTCTCGACGTCGTCGAACGTCGTCCGTCACGCGAGAAAACGTCGAGGGAGCGAGTCGTCGGACGACGTGGCGACCAGCACCACACCCTCTCTCGAGGACGACGAGAGCAACGTGCAACAAAGCGCGAAGAAGAGGAAGAAGAAATCACGTGCCTTCCGTCAGCAATCAGTCGATTCAAAGGCTCTCGCGAATCAGGATTCCAGCGAGTTTCTGCGCTCGAGCGGCGATGGCAAACATACCCTCGAATGTCTCTCGACTTTTGAACTTCGACCGCCGGAAGGCTTCGCGTCTATGAACGATGGCGTCTGTTCGATGGCGGTCGTAAATTCGAATATCGCGGGACCGTCGTCGGCCACGATGATCCCCGAGTTGTATTACACTTTTCCCGACTTTCATTCCGGATTCCATTCCGGAATACATCCCGCTCTTCAAGCGGGAATTCACTCCGGAATTCTTCCTCCGGGACTTTACGATCGTTCGATGGAGGAAGCGGTGCACATGGTGCACCAACAGGACGCCGCGGCCAAACAAATGAAGAAGATGCGCCCGAAGAAGTTCCGTTGCCAGTATTGCGACGTCGCGTTCAGCAACAACGGCCAGCTCAAGGGACACGTTCGCATACACACCGGTCAGTTGAAGTTCTTTCTCTCAATAATGAGCGAACCACGTTAATTTCGATGAGCGCGGGGAAATAAATTGAGAAAACAAATAAAAAATTATAGTTTTTCTAATTTTATTTTTAGGCGAGAGACCGTTCAAATGCGACGTCGAGTCCTGCGGGAAGTCCTTCACCAGGAACGAGGAACTGACGCGACACAAACGGATCCACACCGGTATCCGGCCTCATTCCTGCGTCGTTTGCGGTAAGCGATTCGGACGTAAGGATCATCTGAAGAAACACACGAGAACTCACGAGATACGCGATCCTTATCGCGTCTCGGCCGCTTTGGGCATGTTCGCTCTGAATCATCCGTTTCAGTCGGCGTCCGGGCTTTCGCCTTACGTCTATCAGATCTGACGTCTATCAAAGATAGACTCTTTTGATGAAACCGTGAAAAAATGATCGGGCAAAGATTTTCAAGTTTTTTCTCTCAAGCAAATCGTTCGCGACACTAACGAATACACACGCAAGTAGAGTTACAGGGTATATGTAAGTATATATAATATCGCGCCACACAAAATTAATTACGCACAAAACCGTAACGCGCTGTACCTCGCGTACGGTGGTTCGATTGCCTTCGAGAGCTTTAAATATTTTTGATACGATTTTTTACAACGCTGAACTACGCGCCATTTGAAAAATCGTCGTTCAAAAGTCCGTCACGTTTGTGCGTTCTTTCGCGATCGCACGTTCTTCATCCCCGTAGTACAACGAACAACAAATTTATAAGAACAATGTAACAAATGTAAATATCGCTGTGTTACACGCGGTGTGTGTAAATACTTGTGTAAATAAGAATTCAAAGAATATACTTCGAAATGTGTATATTTTATTATATTTATTATTATCGTATATATATATTGTTACATATTTGACAAATTTATTGTTGCAATCACATGAAATAAATATTTATTTCTGAAGATCTCTCGCATTTTTTTCCGTACAACTGTTCCTTTTACTCTAACGATAAAAAATAGATTTGATATAGAAATATTAATTATTTCGAGTAAGAAAACTGGTACACGCGGTTTTTATTACACGTTAAAGCCGATTATAATAATTGCGACAAAGTTTTTATTACCGGGGCATAAATATTGATGAGCGCGTGAATTTAAATCGCGTATTTAAACAACGTCCATCAACACTGCCATCGGGCAACCACCACCATTTTCCCGGCGATTGAATTCAAGATGGCGTCACCAGCCGCGCCGACTATTGCAACCCCTCGAGTAATAGAGAATCCCCCTTGCTCGTTTATGCGACGCGCTGCAAAGAACGGCGGGGGGAAAGAACGGATGGGTTGCGCCCTTTCGCCCTCATCGGGAACGCAGTTACCACACGCGAGCCTGTACATCCGCGCCCTTTTTTCCGCCGTTTTTTCATTACAATACGGTTTTACGGGATGTTTCGCGGTCGAGTACGAGTCTGTGATTTCGAGAGAAGGGGTTGAGCTTGCGTCGGAAACGAAGGGTTTGAAAAAGTAGATTGCAATTAACTTTTTTTTCGTGAGACTTTTGCAAATCGGTTTTTCTCTGAGAAAAAAGTTTTACACTAGTTCGGAAAATGTCTGCTTTGTGTTGACAGTTTTCAAAAAAAATTGCCAGTAATTAAATAAGTTTATTCAAAAAAGAACACTTTAATACATCTTTTTGCATCAAAGTTTTAATATTTATTTGCATTTCCCGCTCATTTTATTTTCCGCGTGATTACACAAGACAGCTTTAATTTCTTTCTGGTCGTGCAATTAGATGCGAGATTGGATGATCCAATCGACGTCGGTATAGCTTGACGTTCGAGCGAGCCAAATTCTCACGCGGAAAGTTTCGGTAGCAGTTCGGGTAGCAGAAACCCCGCTGGGACATTCGTCGAAGCTCGTTGACACCCCCCTGCCGTTCCAACAGATATATGACCACGAGCCCTCTCTTAGAGACTTCTTTCTTCAGATCTCTCTCTCTTTCTCTATCTCTGTCTTTCTCTTCGCTCTCTTTCGCTCACTTACTGTCCTTGTTCCGAGGGTGCGAAACTTTCTCTCTTTTAGACGTTTCTCTCTTACTCCTAAATCCCATTCTCATCCTTTCAGCCGTAAATGTTCTTTTCCAATTTTACTTTATATTTCCTAAATTGCGCAAAGAAAGCGCCGAGACTCCATCGCCTCTTCTTTCGCGCGAACAACAATCTCGTTCTTTTCTTTTTGGTACGATTTCCTCACTTTTCCTCTTTCTTTCTTCTCGAATTACATCCCCTTCAAGGTAACTTGCCGCCCGCCGAACCGTTTCTGTTTCCAAATCTTGTTACCGAGAGGGATGTCCTCGGACTAAACGACTGCTTAACTGCGCCCGGATTACAGCCAAATACGCCTACCTTAATCTCAGATTACACCGGTAGTCTGTCATCGCGTTAAGCCCGCTTGACGCGCGGCAAATTATGTTTGCCTCCGCTCTTTTCCGCTCACACAACTCAAACGGATTATTCCATTTCAATTCTTCCATTTTGTCTCTCTCGTGACAAAATGTAAGTTATTTTATTCACGCGAAGTTGTAATGTATTTATATTTTTGCAACTTGGCACCTAAGACACGGAAGAAAATCGGTTTTAAATCTCTCTTTGTGAGCTCGTCGAACGATTACTCAGCGGTTACAACGTGCGGTTACACGCACTTCGCTCAGAAATTCAGCTGTCGTGCGAGCATTTGCATTTTTGCATATTCGTTGAGTAACCGGCGAATTTACGAGCGTCGGAAAAAATGTTTTCGCAAGACCGTTCCGATTCTCCCTAAATAGCCGACGAGGACGACTCTCGCGCCTGTCAGCGAATACAAATTCTTCCGTTTTTCCGCCGCGTCTCTCGCCGTGTCATTCTTCTTTTCACCTTCCACCGTCGGACGCGCGCGTCCAAACATTACCTGCGCGATATACGCGCCGATCACATGTCCGTTTCTCGTTTGCGCGCGCCGCGGGTGGGCCTGTATATCGGAATGTTTGTCCGGCGTCATTGTTGCGCGCGTCCCCGGGCACTCGATACGCTTTTCTCCCCATCACGGTTTTAAAAAGCGTTTAGAGCCCCTAATAGCCTCGGGGCTTCCCTTCGTCGCGCGATACCGTCTTCCTTTCCCGATGCGCGCGAGAACGAGTGCTTTTCTTCGGAGAAACCGGGATGCGCGAGCACACCCGCAGCGTCGCTGACTTTCTGATCTATGGATCTCTCGTCGCTCGTATATTCTGTTTCGCAATTCTAAGTGTAGCGCGATGAATGCGCGCTGACACTTTTCTCGTTGCGCGTATATATTCATCCGAATGACTCGGATCGTGCAGCAGCAGGACGCTGTGCGACAACACACACACAGGTCGGACTGCCCGTAGTGACGATGTAGTTTGTAAACGGAAGAAGGTGCGACACAATTAATTGAAGGGGCTTTGTCCGCGATATGTCGCGAGCGCTAAATCGAACGGACATTTGTGCGCGCGCGGAAATAGCGAAGATATATATATATTTTATCGCTGTATATATTTGTTGCATTTACCTTCGTCGTAAATGCGAGAGTTAGATTGGAGGAGATAAAAAGATAGAATCACTGCCATTCTGATGCTTGGCGATTTTGAAGTTTCATATTTGTCGCTTGACAATTTAATTTTCAATTTTCTTTTCGTTTTTGAGATTTCGAATCGTCATCTCGTTTTTGATCGACTGAGTCCAGAAATTTTACTGCCTAGCTTCATAGATTCTTTGAGTGAGAAAATTTCCTGCCGGTCCGTAATTGCATACCAAGTGCTGTCTCTTCATGTCGGTTTTCGTAGGCTTGTACGATATACATCCGCAACCAAGTTTCGTCGTTTCAGCCCAAACCATTTGAGTGTAATGACCTGTCCCTTTAGAAAACCTAAATAGTTTTGTTAAAAATATAATGAGATAATATAATTCACATAATATTAATTTAATCACAGATGTTACTTGATTCGTTTGCTAAATGTGCAAACATTCTGCACATTTAATCAAATATTTAATACTTAAACAAAACACTCACACAAATGAAGAAACTTGATTTTTATCAAAGAGAGCTACTTCGTCGTACCACAGATCGATCATTTGTTCCAGACCGGGATTGCCTTTTCTCGTCGTGTAGGCTACGTTCTGACCAACTTGGTATTGTTCTTGTTTGAAATATTTATTTAAGTACCGATAGAAAAAAACGATTATATTCTCAATCCATGACCACGCAAACATAAATTGCACAAATTTCAACTTACCTACATCTCTGCACTCATCGTGGGCGTAAACGCATTGGTTGGCCCATCTTTGCGCGATTCTCGCTAATTCATTGTCCCAAGTCTGAGAAAATGTATATAAAAGATATAACAACTGTTATGCACATATTTATTTTTAAATATTATTACAAATGTTTATTATTAATTTTTAACACACGCCGTGTGTCTTATACCAAGTTCGGCATCTGCACTGCCGCCGGTTGCGGACCGGGATTTCCTCTGGTTTCCTGACCCGACGCGACTTTTTGTCTCAGTTCGTTGTGCTTCCGTAATATCAGATTCTTCTCAGCGTCGCTGAGATCCGGATTACTCCAGCTCTTGCAAGCTTTCGCCGGGGCTGATGACTGCGACATCATACAAAATTAAACACGTGCGATAGATTTAAGATTGTGTGTCGACTTTTTCGACTTTTATCATCTTCTCTAATAAAAATAAAAAAGCAAAAGATTTCGAACGACAGATACAATATTTTCGCGGTTATAAATATCGACGAGATTGAGAAAAAGAAAAAATAAATCGTATATACATATGTACAGAAAATATATTTAATAAATTGATTTCTATGCGCTTACTTTGTACTTGCACATCGTGTGAACTCCTTTGTTGAATTGTTTACACCACTTTATTTTGCAGTAATCCACCGCGGCAATATTATTAACAAACACTCCTATTAATAAGATAAGACACAACATACCAGAAATTTTCATCGTGATGACTTTTTGTGATTTGGTAAATTTTACTTTAAAACAACTTTGTTAGAAATATTATTTCTTGCTAATTTTGAGAAAATTTAATGCAATATTTATGGGTTATATCAACATTACTGTCAAAGACAGCTGTTTTTAGTGACTACGTTATCGATACGAATATTGATCATTTGACTGGGTTTTATACGTCGCGAATAATCATTTCGGAGCATTATCTTAACCGCAACTAGTTGTGGACCGCGGCTTTCTCTGGTTTCCCTGCTGGACGCAACTTTTCGTCTTAGTTTATTATGCATCTGAAATATTAAATTTTTTTCATCCGCAGTGAAACTTATATCCCGTCCGTTTTTGCATGTTCCCGAGCAATTTAGCGACTGTAATATATTTGACGTATTAGAATTAATGATACTAAGTACGCTACTCTAGTCGTAGCATATTTACATCGGCACTGACAACTGATATGGAATTTATCTATGTGTGTATATAAAAATTTGGGTTTTTGATTTTTTCAACAATAAAAGATATAAATTTTACATTTATATTTTATATTTATATGTGTGTACATATGTGTGCATGTGTGTACATATATAATTTTAATATAATTAATAATATATTTAATATGTAATATATATTTAATAGAATAATTTCTGCTTTCTTACCGAATACTTGCACATCGTGTGAACTCCTTTGTTAAGTCGTTTACACTATATTGCAGTAGTCGATCACGGCAATATCAGCAAACATTCTCATCATTACAGCAAAATACAACATATCAGAAATTCCCATTTAGATATTTTTTAATCTACTTCAATCTACTTCGTTGTCAAACACCTTTAATGATAATGTTTTCTTTTTCACAAAATTAAATATAAAGCGATCATTATAAATTGTAATAACGCTTTCTTGCTTCAAATATGACCGATGTTGCCAGTGACTCTGTTGACATTGACACTGACTATATTTATACGTTGCAAGTGTCGTTCCAGAACATATTATCATAATACATTTCATAACACTTTTTTGTATTGTTGTTTTATGACTATTTGCATTTGTGGTGTGGTATGTCATAAATTAACACGCACATACTTCACTTGGTCTATTAAAATTTTATGTAACTTACATGTACTGAGATAACAAATATATTTTTATATTTAATGTTTGTTTAATAATGTACAATAATTTAATAATTACATAATGAAAAGAATAAAATTTATATCAAGAAATATAAAATACACATATTATTAAAAGCAAAACTAAATATTGCTTTTTGTTTATTATTACAATAAAGATTGTTTTTGCTCTGATTTTTATTTTTGTATTATTTTATATACCGATTATTATAGTTCCATAAAACATGCATTTATTGTTTTTCGTAGCACGAGAGATAAAAGTAATATATGATAGACAACATTATAATTGCTAAAAGATCACGTGTATATAGCTTTATTGTTGCCTTGTCATTATATGTTGTTGATAATTTAATTTACTTCTTAATTTTGTATATTGGCTTATTGATATAATTACCGGTTGGACCGTAATTGCAAACTAAGTAAAGTCCAATCCAACCTTTTGAATCTGTATATTTTATTTTTCCACAACCAATTTTTGTCGTATCTGCCCAAACTATTTGAGTGTAATGACCAGTTTTCATATCAAATCTGTAAATAAATTGTTTCTTATTTCCGTCTTGCCTCTATATTAATTTAATAGTAAATATGACAGAAATATAATTTAAAGATGATTTTAAACGATATTATTATATTGTGTTATATCACTTGTAAAAGTAATAAATCTAGTATATGTTTATTTAGACAGGCTTAATTTAAGTAACATGCAAATTTGTTAATAAAAATTGTACAAATTTTATCAATAGAATTTATAAAATATCATACAATGTATATTTAGAATATTAAATATTCAAAAAACTTACTGAAATCTGGAGACTGTTTTTCGATCATGAAGTTTTACCTCATCGTACCATTTTTGAATCAATTTCTCTACAGTTGCGTCATGATTGGGATCGTAAGCTATATTTTGTCCAACGTTAAATCTCTCTACAATTACATTTATTGTTTATAAGTAAACAAATATGGAATTATAAATATACGATTAAATAGCGATAAATTTGCACGTTGTGTTATGGTATTGTATAACTTACACATTACTGACGTCATTACATTTATCATGTCGAAAATGTATGTAAAAACATTTTTATGTATAAAAATATAGAATCAAAATAGTAATAAATTTTTACGCTATAAATATTATTGCATAAATTATATCACTTACTGACGGTGATACAATTATCATGGCCGTAAGTGCACTGATTGGCCCATCTTTGCGCGATCGTCGCCAATTCATCATCCCAAGTCTGAAGAAAATTAAGAAAATTGAAATAATATTTATGTATAATCAAGCTTTAAAAACAACTTTAAATTTTGTATAATATATGTTATATACATATATTACGTCTTACCAAGTCCGGCATATTAACTGCCGGTGGTTGCGGACCGGGATTACCCCTGGTTTCCATACCAGACGCGACTTTTTTTCTCAACTCATTATGCTTCTGTACTACAGCGTTTTTTTCAGCATCGGTGAAACCTTGATCATGCGGTTTTACGCATGTTGGTCCGGGGTTTGGTGACTGTAATACAATGTATTAGAATTGACTGAATATTTTATAGAAGAGTTTTAATTAATATGATTTTTTAACACTATGACGCTTCTCCGAAAAAGACGATATATTCTCAAATGCTCGTGAATAATTGTACTTACTGGATATAAGCACATCGTATGTTTGTATACCGTATCGTCGAATTTACATGTGATTTTACAATACTCGTTTGCAATAGCAGAAACAAATATTCCTGCTATTACAGTAAACCACACTATGAAAATTCTTGCCATTATACGTTTATTTGAATGTTATTGTTTTGTCGCTTATAAATTGCTTTGTTCTCTCTTTGGTCGAAACTAAAACGAACTGACCTTCTCAACAGAAGAATTTCTGATTTATATATGACGCTTTATCACTAAATATTATCATTATTATTTATTGTGTTTTATTACTTGTTTTACTACGAAATACATGTGCGGTATCTTCCTTTCTTTTATCTTTTATTATTTTTCTTTTACGATTGTCCGTGACAAAAGCGAACACGTAGGAAAAGTGTGAAAACAATTTTCATCCAGAAAATAAACTTTTATTTTGATTTTATATATTTATTTTATTAGTTTGACAAAACACCTCATATTTTCTGATATCTTCTTACATTATTACGTAGCACTACTATATATGTATTTAATGTGTATGTGTGTATAGTAAGTAACTTTATTATTTAAATTTCTGTGCATCTTTATACTATTATAACATAACGATTATATACAATCACTTTAATTACATCAAATAACATGAATAACACAATAACTATTTGTTCTTGCCGATGATTTGGTTTTCAAGTTTTATTTAACTTGCAAAATATTTTATTTCTTTATTTCATAGATTTTTTGGCCTATATAGTTTCCAGCTGGACCGTAGTTGCAGACCAAAAATTGATTATTCCAACCATTTTGTCCTCGATACTTGATACGACCACAGCCAATTTTGTGAGATTTGTCCGAGACGAGTTGCGTGTAGTGACCAATATCATGAAAGTTCTTGCCCCTAGAGAAATTAATAAATTTTATTAAAAATACGTACACACACACACACACACACACATGCCATATCTAATGTACTTAAAAAAATATTGCACTTTTTATAATCACACTTACGTCAGCTTTTCAACTTCTCGTCTGTCCATTTTGGCTACTTCGTTGTACCAACTTCCAATCATGTCTTCCACAGGAGAGCCATTTTTTCCCGTACTCATTGTCATGACTATGTTCTGTCCGACCGGATATCTTTCTGTGTGGCCAGATCAAGTTGATTTATAACATATATCGTAATAACAGGCAGCGATGTTTTTATATAAAATATACTTGTACAAATATATGATAATTACTTACCGACATTTCTACACTCATCGTGACTAAAATTACACTGGTCAGCCCATCTCTGCGCAATCGTTTCTAATTCGTTGTCCCAAGACTAGAAAACCAAATCAAAGCTCAACAACTTACATCTTAAGTATGCTTTTTACAACACAGTTTTAATATATGTATATTGCGGAGTAAAATATAATTATACCAAATTTGGCATGGAAGCTGCTGGTGGCTGTGGACCGGGATTTCCTCTGGTTTCTTTACCCGACGCAACTCGCTGCCTAAACTCGTTGTGCTTGTTCACTATAGCGTTCTTCTCCTTATTGGTTAATCCGCGATCGCTATGGTTAACACAGGCCGATCCCAAATTGTTCGACTGTGACAATATTATATAAAAATTTTATGCAAAGGAAGAAAGAGAGTGAACGAAAGATCAGCTGTAAAAAGTATTAACGGATTCATACCGGTGTAATTTACATTTTATACAATTTTCAAACATACACAAAATACGTGATCAAACATACACAAATACTCTGCTTACAGAGAGAATCTCTCACGTATGTGTATACGACGTCGCTACGTTCAGAATAACGACATACATTGTTACTCACTTTGTATTTGCACATTGTGTGAATGTTGGGTTTACATGATTGTAAATTGCAGTAATTGGTCGGTTTAGATGATGCAGCAATGCAAATTGCATTTATAAATATTGCCACAAAAATAGTACAGAATAACAGATTGCAGATTATTGCCATGATCTTCTCTAATCGTTGATGATCGAGTCACTTCGGCGAATTTTTTCTAACTGTGAAAACAAGTTCAGAAGAGTCATTATATATGCCGCACGTTATCAGTTAACAATACCTCATATACATATGTTACCTTGTACCACGTACATTATCATGATACATTAGTATTTATTAATAGTCAGACTTGTTTTTTTTTCTTTGCAATTGCTTTTGCACACTCGGTAAGAAATCTTAATTGCTTACATTTAAATGAGCAAGATCAATATCAAACTCAATATTGTTGCATTACTTAACACCGTAAAATAAAAATTTTTATAATTGTACAGTTTTTTTATACAGTTTTTTTTATTTCACATTTATAAAAAATAAAAGTGGTGTTTGCATATTACTTGCAATTTATTTTACTTAAACTTGTTTACTCTATGGTTTTTACTACTTTTATTTATTTATTATTTTACTATTTTCGTGGAAAACTTTAACATTTGAAATGTATATAAAACGACATATTTTTTGATAATCTTTTTAACAATATTCAAATGTGGTAAAAAATATTTATGTAATGATAGAGAAAATAATTATCTTTTGAGTAAACATTCTTTATCGATAGCAACATTCTTTTCTATTTGCACACTTGCAAGCTGTGTAACATTTACCATCTCTAAAAGTGACATTATGAAACACGCAGATGTACAAATGTTAGAAACACTGTGACATATGTTAGCAATCGATAATTATTCTTTACAGTATATTTCCAAAGAAAATAATCATTTAAAAAATTTCAACAAAAAAATAATATAAGATAATAAAAAGATTTTTTATAAACAAATAAAAAGTTTTTTGCTAACTTTTTCTGCAATTTTGTGAATATTTATATGACGAGAACGCCGCAATCAGTTCGCAGTGTTAGATAAGTGATAAAAACGCAGGTTATGCGCGATTTTCATTTATGTAAATTTTATTTCATATTATTTACAATATAATATCTAAATTTAAAAAATACTCGATATTAAGATAATAAAAACTGATATGTTGATTTCCATTGATTCTTTAAGATGATAAGATAGACAGCGATAAAAAAATACTGATTAAGTTAGAAATATGTGGCACAATTACGAGTATGTGATAACAATTTTTCTCATAAATAAATATCATATAAATATAAGTACATGAGACAGATTACGTAATGATATAAATAAATTGATTATTTATGATTACAATAAACATACATGAGTTGTGCACAATTAATTATTTATTTCAAACATTGATGAGAATTAAAACTTCAGTAATCGCGCAAATTAAATATAATTTTCTTGGGTGTGTTTCAATTAACAAGATAATGATTGCAGTTTTGAGATTTTTTGTTCTTTTTTGTGAACATTATTTCCGTACGATTTTCTTCTCAAAAGAGAATTCGTCACATATTTCTCACTCAAATCCGAGCATTAATAAAACCGAGAACGTGGAAAGGGCTATCGAGGTCGATTGAAAAATCGCGCAAGCTCAAAGTCTTTGGCTTATCATTATACGCGCCAATAGAACGGGACGGTCGAAAGAACGACTCGATCTCGGATCGCCGCGCACTCCACTGATTGTGAGAAATCATCGTTTTTTTTTCTTTCTTTTCTATCTCTTTCTTTCTCTTTCTCTCTTCTATTCTTCTGAGACTGTTCGACGTCAAAAAATAGGGGGCTTTGGTGGGCGGGTGGCTATTCGAATCCCTCCGAAGGAATGAATGAATGGAAGCCAGACGCGTCCATTCACGCGCGCACCTGACTTCTGAGCGTCATATCGTGAGAATCGTCCTCGAGATTTTTGAAGATCTCTTTTTTCCGAGTTTTTTTTTCTCTCTCTCTCTCTCTCTCTCTCTCTCTCTTGGTCAACGCTTGATCTCCGCTCGGAACGCTGATCTTCGGGGATAAAGAAACGCGACGCACGACAATTTTCTCCGTGGTGACACGTTTTCTCAGGACTCTCCCTCGATTACGTCTTCGCGTCGTAGCAGTTAGCGGAGATCGCATCGAAAACGCGCTGTGAAAACTTCTCTTTTGTGAATTTTAAAAAATAAAAAAAAATAATACATGTAACAAATAGAAACGTAATAAACAATAAAGTTGCGATAAGTGTACTTTAGCGAATGATTTTCGAAAGACGAGTGAAAAAATCTGTGAAGTTCGATAAACAGAGCTCGTTTTAAAAAATGAAGGTTCTGCGTCCCAAGAAGAGAGACGTTCGGCACCTGTCGCGTTGTTTTCTACGGAGCTTACGTCCCGAACGATACACCTGATGCGAGACAAATCAAGCGAATACACAACGGCGAGCATTCATCGGGTGATTCTCGAGGTTTCAATTCCCGGAAGCTCGATTTGTTACGCGTTAAAAATAATACCCGCCTTCGACTGATAGTCCGAGACAAATTGATCTCGTGAGAACACGAGTGTGTGAGCGGCCTTATTTAAATCCTTCTTCGAATCAATTTACAAGGTTAAAATCAAGCGAATTAAAAGCGAATTAATATTCAGATACAATGAAAGAACATCAAAACTTTTGACATTTTTGATTTTATTTCTCCTTGTCGTTCGTTTTTTTTTTCTTTTATGTTTCTTCCGACTTTTCGGATCTAACCGTGGAAAGTTCCTTTCTCTTGTCCTTCGTTGATCGCCACGGCCGCGGTGTTCGGAACTCGAGGTCGATCTTTTGTTTCTTGTCGCCAATGTCGCTGCGCTTTCTGATTCTCAGTACGAAGATATTCGGATTTTCTTCCCGATCCAGTTGCTCTCTCGATTTGTCGTGTTCATCCCTTTCCGACGCGACTACTTGAGAAGATTTTGAGTCGTTGTCCTTCACATTCGGATACAACGTAACCGCGCGGCATCTTTCGCGATCGCAGATCGTCTCCGTCGCGTCTTCTCGAGAAGCGCGATGAATTTCCAGAGTACCGTTGGCCATTTCAAACGCTACGCCATTTTTATCGCATTGTTTTAAACTCGACGTCGAATCCTTCGATGTTACCTCCTGATCGACGCACTCGCACGGAGGCTCGTATTCCTCCTTGTCTTCCCGCTCCTTGTGCATCCTGATGATGACGCGATTGTCGTTGATGACGGCCTCGATCTCTTTGTACGGCTGTTTCTTCCGTACGATCTCGGACACGATCTTCTTCGTTGGAATTCTCTCCGCGCTGGACGCTCCATGTTTCATCGATTTGTCTCTCGACGATTGTTTGCCGACGCTTTCTTTCGACGCGACGCTCAATGTCCTGCAACCGTGTGTCGCGCTTTGTTTCTTAACTCGTTCAAAAACTACAAGAAAAACAATAAAATCTGTTCCGCGAATTGGCGATACGTACGTGGAAGGAACGTGTCCCGAACACGACGGAGCGCAGCGGGAACTTTTGGCGCAACAAGAAAATCTTTCGTCAGATAACGAACACGAACGTTTTGCTCGAGCGACCAACGAAAGCCGAGATTGTGGACAACCGCAGGCTTTGGTAGCCGCGATCATTCTCGTCGTTACCGCTGCTCGTGCGGATGCATGAACTTGTTTTGCACGAGTTACACGATGGCGAGTGAATTCGAAGACCGGGTTTTATCCAAACGATGCCATGTTGGTTGCGAAGAAAGCGACAAGTCTGCGGTGGAACGTGAACTTATTTCCTAACGAGCGAAGATTGTGGCGGATTTCGAAGAATCGATCTTACACACGGGGTGCAGCAATGATCTTGCATGTAGCACATTTTAACAAACCATAACCTTTCACATAAAAAAAAAAAATGGATCGGTAAAAAAGTATTTTCCTTTTTAATACAAACGTTGGCTCCTGAATTTTAAATTACCAGTGAAAATGCAGTCCTTCAGCGACAAAAGTAATGACCTTGGTTTTCAAATTAGTGTTTGTGATTTTAACACTTGATCTGCGAGGCGGTTGTGTGTGTGCGCCTTTTGCTCAACGCGGACGGCTTTTCGCGCTTAGAAGAAAGTTAACAGAGTTTCATTAAAATATTTATAAAAAATATTAATTCTTCAACACACAGGTCGCGGAAAACGGAATATTCCGCTCAACTCGCAGATTTAAGTGTTAATTCAGGATTGTACTACTTGGGACGTAACTTGTAATAACAAGATGTTTTTTTAACAAGGTATGTGTTCTCCAATGTCCCATCCAATGTCATACACATCACAGTCGGTTAACAAGAACGTTTGCACAAAATATTACCAAGAGATCGGAGCGGAGATGCTTAGCAACCAGCTAATTATCAGATTGGAGAAAAACAAGACCAAGTCGAAGAAGAAGCAAAAGGAATGGGATCCTCCTTGCGACTGCGTCGTGGTTCAGAGACCGACGAGCAAGAGCGGTCCGAAAATATTCAACGCGTATTGCGACGATCGCATCGTGTTTCGCGTCCAGTCGATGTCCCATTTGCACAAAAGAGAAGATCCCGTCTACAGAGCGCAGACTATTGGCTATAAAGTTCGTTTTATATTGAAAAACAAACACAAGTTTTATTTAAAAAAAAAGACAATATTTTTAACTACGTACGTTTACTGTTTCTCAACTGCACGTTCTAAAAACAAGTCGTCTAAAGTCGAAGTCTCGTAGATAGAACCGTGCAAAGATGGGGAAGACCATCGCCAGTACAAGACCGTTACGGTCTATCCGCAGTTCACTTCGGGAACTCAAGAAGTGTACAGCGACTGCATAACCGAAGGCGATCAGAGCGTCTTCTTGTTGAGGATAAAGAAGAAGGCGGAAGGTTCCGAGCGGAGAGACAGAAACGTCGAACTTGAACTCAGAACTCCCAAACCACCACCGCGGTTGCCATCTCCGCCGTCATCGCCGCCACCTCCACCGCCATCATTTGAATCTGTACCCGTGGTTGCACCACCCGTTGCCGATTTAGTTAATCACAAAACGAAGAAAAATCAAAAGAAAACTATAAAGAAAGCAAAAATGAAAAAAAAAAAGAAATAAGTAACAAAAAACGACGTCCGTCCGCAAACACACTCTTGACTCTTTATAATAAAGTGTTTTAAATATAAAAAAGGTCGTTGGCGATATTTTCAGTAGGAAAGACTAGAATTTTGTGTCATTTGTTGATGTCATTTGTCAATGACACGCAGATGGAATTCTTACACAAGTACGTGTTACCGCCGCGACAACTACATGGAAGCGCGAAACTCGCGAGTGCGCGTCCCGCGAGTTCATTCATCGTTTCGATCGACCAGCCATGCAAAATTGCTTCGTTACGGCCGGCCAGATCGAAGAGAGAAAGAGAGAGAGAGAGAGACAGAGAGAGTCTCTTCTCTCCGTTCGGGACTGTTTCCCTCTTTCCTTGACTCCTTTCCCTCTCATCCGGCTTTCACGACGATCGATGACGCAGCACACGTGGAGACGATGGCATTGTCAAATCCTACACAATTATCATAATTGCCACCAACTCCTCGGTGCCTTTGTCGGCAACGGGTTTTCACGGTAAAACGGCCAAGTCAAAGAATAGGCAACGAGGCTACCGTGACTTTTCGCATGTTGAAATACTCACAATCGCGATCTCTCTGCTCTTCTCTGATTGGACTCCCAAGAAAAAAGACGCGTGTGTTAAAAATATATTTTCATATATAATGAATATAAATACTTTTCATAGATTTTTCTTCTCTCGAGAAAGAAAAAAAAAGATTTTGTCTCGTGAACTTTAGATATTATTAGGTAAATAATAATAATATGAATAATTCCTCGGTTCGCCGCCGCGTCGTGCTTTACGCAGTTCGAAGGGTGGGAGAGGGGATATTTGAAGGATATTAAACTGCTCTCATATTTCCTCGACATTGTCACAGATTTTCTCCGGGTCGTCACAGTCGGCGAATCACGAATGTCCCGCGAGCGGCATCCGCGACACGTTCGTGTCGAGATGTCCATCCGACGTGTATAATAAAGTGAAAACGCACAAAAGGAGGATGGATGTCGCGATTATCGGCCAGGAAAGTGACAGCGGGATGCGGACAATACGGCGACGCGTCGGGGTAAGAAAATGCGTGGGCGGTTTCGTAATCGTGAATGGCATGGGAGTTCATAAAGGTGTCGTTCGCGTTCTGTGTGGTCACGTTTTAAGAGCGGCGACAATGGCGCTGGCCAATAAATTAGGACGCCACGAAAAAAGAGAGAGAGAGATGATTCTTGACGCACACGAGGAAACAGCGTGACGAGTCGCGAATGAAAAGCTACTCGTTTTTTCCCGATCCGGGAAAGAAGTCTGCGGTTGCGTCGATGAATGGAGCGACAAGTGGCCGCGATATTATATACGTGGAACGACTTGCTGTGCGCGTTAAGAAGATCTTTTACGCGAGAAATCGGACATTTTCGGGATGAAAGAGAAGCAATAATTCACGAAGTACTTGAGAAGCGAGATAAAATAGATATTTTCGCACGGTCTATATAGACGGAATATAAAACTTGTGAAAAAGCTTGTGTGTGCAATATCTTGAGAAGATTTCTCTCTCTCTCTCTCTCTCTCTCTCTCTCTCTCTCTCTCTCTTTCTTCGTCAATAAATTTTCTTGGCAATAAAAAGATGTAATGAGGATTATATATTACAGAACAAAATAATTAGGTTCTTTCTTCTAGAGAAAAAATATCACTATAATATTACAAAAATAAATATTACTCTATAATAATTAAATAAACATTACTATGATATTATAATATTATTAGTGGCAATATTTTCTTCCTCAAGCGCTAATAATTTTTTATATCTTCATATAAATCATATTAATTTTATTATTCCGACATTTCTTTCTCTTGCTCTCCGTTAACAGTCTAATTGTCATCAATAACAGGAAAGTAAATAAATCAGCAAAAGCGTTCGCCGCGGGTGGTGAACTTGCGCGATCGTCGTTCAGGGTGGTCCGCCGATTCTTCACATTGTAACATCGAAAATGTCACTGCCGGGACTGCTTGATTCGCGGTAAACGAAGAGTAAGGGGAGAAAGCCGTAATATCATCATTATATTACGTCACACAGATGCGCGGATCGGGGATCTCGAGACCAGCGTTTTTATATATTGCGGTTACGGCGCCATTGTGCGCCCCGGTGTCCACAAAAGGACCCACGAAGAACTCCCGCGGAGAGAAGGTCTGCGACGTATAGCAGGGTTACTGATTGGCCGCTTCCCCTGTCGACAGCTATGGTAATCTGTACGCACTTCCTGAATGTCTTCCCTTTCCGATTTCTGCTCCGTCACCTGCTGACGTCCGCAGGCGACACGTTTTTGCCGAATTTGAAGAAAAAACATCTCACGCGTGTCGCTAGATTCAAAGATTACCATCCCAGTTTTTGACAATAATACTTTGAAAAAACAAAATAATATGTAACCTTGTGTGGGTTTAAAAAAAAGAGTGTGTGTGTGTGTGTTGTGTGCAAATAAAAAAACTCAATTTCTATAAAACAAATTTCTATAAAAAAATTTTAGCAAGTAAAACATAACGAAAAGTATTATTTTTAATATAGTTCAATTTTTTTTATCATGTAATATTGCAAATGTGTGAACTTTGTCACGCTTTTAATGCAAATGAAAATATTGAACTTGCATAAATCGAATTAGTATAAATGGCTGTCAAGTGCGTCGACAAAAAAGTGATTTACGTAAAAGTGACGGTTATGTGCATACGATTATGTAATTCGATTTTTCTATAAAATTATGTAAGCGACAATACTTGTGCGCTTTGAATAATAATTGTTTTCGGAATTGTTGGCGAAGAAAATTGTTAACAATATCATGCTGGAACCAATAATAGTTTTGACAGCGCTTAATTGCTTTTTCATGTTCAGCTCCACAGTCACGACCTGTGTGTTATGGTAATCATTCATTCGAGAAATTCAGAGTCGTTTTCTCTCTTTCTTATGTAATTCCGAACGTTGTGTTAGGTGGCAATATCAGAGCCATCGTTGTTGCACTAGAAACAATGATGTTCAACGGAAGTCCGTTTTAAAGAAATCGAAGAGCGTCACTTTACAAATCCCCAAAGAGCTAAGAAAATCCGACGGCCACGTGAACGTCAGTAAGTCCAGTACAAACGGCAGTCGCGAACACAGAAACAAACAATGTCCGAGGAAAAAATCAAGGAAGAGATTGCAATATTTATTAGCGGAATATCGAAAGAAGAAAAACGACGGACAAGAAGCGTCATTTTCGTAAATTTTATTGTTTTATTAGTATTTTTTTCTTTCTCTCTTCTTGTAAGTTTCTTGTAAGTTACACACTTTGTGTATGCTTTTCATTGTGTTTGTTAAATCTTAGAAATGAATTCGACTCAAGAGAACTCAACGAAAAATCAAAAATGTCCGAGGCTTCTCAGACGATAAACGACGCGAAATCAACAGTCGTGATGGAGTTCTCGACAGTTCAAAAAGTTGTGCAAATCGTCGACGATTCCGATGTCAATTCATCGCGTGCACCTCTCAAGGATATCGTCATTCATAAAGATGCAGTGACCAAGAAATACGATCGCAGCACTGAGCGGAATTTCGAAACTAACGAAGCTGCAGTTGAAAATTCTCGTTAAATATTTAAAAATTTTGGCTTTTTATCAATTTTTTAATATATGATTTGCAAATACGGTGACAATAGAAATATGCATGATGTCTTGTTTAACAATTTCAATTGTCGAAGGAATTTAATTTCGTGTATCATACAAGATGTAACCGTGTTTGATGCGATCTTCTACCTCGCGGTCATTTGTTCGATTTTATGAAAACGAGAAACTCTACTGTCGTTCAATGTTTTTATTCCATTAACGCATTCCGTTTATTTATCTCCGATCCTTGAAAACAGACGCCATTGCCACCGGATCTTGTACAAATACGACGCTCGCTTTCGTTCGCCTTCGAGATCGCGTCGTTCTTTCTGCTCGAAGAGCAATTCGAATTATCGCAACTGTCCGAATGTTTGATCAGTCTGTCGCATATTGGCGAAGTCGTCCTGTTTTTCCTTCGCGAGCACCTATGCGCATCGCGGCAGGTTTCCGATACTCGATCGCACATTTTTCCCTTACGACACTTGCGATGTTCTTGTCGATTTTCGCGCTCGAAGTGCGAGACGTCCTTGAACTTTCGTCGCGGACAAACCGAAACCTCTTTCACACATCTCGAAGAATCATGTAGTTCTGCTCGTCGATGTTTCGAAACCGGTTTCCTACGTACACAACACTCGTCCGAGTCAATTTTTCTAAGGTCTCTCGAGAATCCCGGGAAACTAAATTAGAGAGAAAGGAAGCACACAATACGAAAAACTCTCAAACACACGAGATTACGCCGAAACAGCAGATCCTCAGATCTCGGCCGATTTTATTTGCAATCTGCGCGACTCGTAACGAGCTCTCGTACCATATCGAAAAAAGAGTGCACCAGATGCACGTTATGCAAGCGCTGTTGCATATAGTGATACAGTCCACCATTTCGCAAGTCGGCGGTGATTTCGCATCGCGCAGGAAGTGGGAAGTTCCGCGCGCTGTGTTCTACGACTTCATCTTAAATGTCCGATGTCTCGATCTTTTTGAATTCGAAATCAGAGAGACGAAACTTTCGAAGCGCGATCACAATTCTTGACAGCGACAAATGTGATGTTACGACATACATGACGGTGAGACGTGAAGTGTAAGAGGATCGATCGCGACTGACTGTCGATTGCAATCGAAAAGAAAATGGAACCTTGGAACCCAAATCTTTCGTCAGTTCGACGCGCGGAATCGTTCCGCGCACAATCGTTTATCATAATGAGCTAATCTCAGAAATGCTGGAGATCGTCGCATTGTGCAGCTGTGCTTGTCTCGCGTGTCTCTGGTGCGCTTTGGCTTTCGAAGTGTGAGTTTTGTTTATTTTTTTAATCGGCATTTTCTCTCTCGCACTCTTTTGCCGTGAATCTCACGCTTGCTCGTAAATTTGCAGAGCGAAGAACAAATACGGTTGCAGATGGTGTACTACGCTACGTAATCCTTGCGAGTGGCGGTGGACGAAGTGCAAATGTGTTGAACGCGTCTTTCGAAAAAATCAAACTCAAAGTTCACCGTGTAAAACTTCCTGTTTGTGTTCACGTTCACCTTGGTGAGAGGATTTTTATTTTATTGTGAGAATGTGAATTTGAATCCTTGGTGAGAGAATTTTTATTTTGTTGTGAGAGCATGTATTTGAATCAAGAATGTCAGAAAAATCTGCTCCAAATCTGAGAGCGAATTAATTCTACGTATGATTTTACATTCTTGCAAACAGTAGTCGACAATTTGTTTTTTCAAACTTATTTTTACATTTACATTTTTCCATTTTTATTTTTACATTTGTTATAAATTATCTTTTTGAGATCTTGAGTTTTGTTCTTTAACAGTGCCTGTCCGTCGTATAAGTTCGTATGTAAAGTGTGTCGTCGTGTAAAGCCGGAGTGTATCTGCGCGAAATTCTTTTGGCATAATGTGGCAGCGGATCAGTAAGTATTTTAATTAAGGTAGTTATCGCGCAACAGTCTCATTTTAAAGTTTAATTTTACGCTATAAAAAAGTATTTTCAAAAATATTCTCTCGATTTACATATCGTACGAATATTTCAGACTCTATTTTATCATTATGTCAGTAGAAATAAAAACGTAGTTTTATCATGCTCAACAACTTCGTTTATTCGCAATAATTTTTTCTCTTTTGCCAATGCGGCAAACTTTTATATAGTAGCGGTTGTCCACGCTTTGCTTCAAACGGCAATCTGGCACTTTCGCGCGCGTTTAACCAAATCTGTCAATTTGCTTAGCTGTCAAACGAAACTACTAAAATAGGTTTGTTTTTTTTCCTGAACTGGCTGCACTAGTTCACAGTCTATCTGTTTTTATCCATATTAGAAAAAAAAAGATAGACTAGTGCAGTCAGTTCAGAGAAAAAAAACAAACCTAATGACTTCTCCATTTCAATACAAAATTTGTTTTATTTTTCTGCACTGGCTGCACTAGTTCACAGTCTATAGGTTTGTTTTTTTTCCCGAACTGGCTGCATTAGTTCATAGTCTATCTTTTTTTTTTCTAATACGACAGAGGCAAGAAAATCACAAAAAACTGGTGTGTCAAAATCTAAGTACGTTGTGCAAAAAATGATATTATTGTCTCTGTTATCTGCCTATGTTTCACAAATTATTGCAATCTTTCGCGGCTTTCGACAACAAAGTCTAAATAGTTTTTTACATTTTTATATTTTATATATTTTATATTTTTATGCTTTTTTATTCGTATGTTGGTAATCTACCGCATTCTAGATTTTTTTTTTTTTTTTATCACTGTCGCAAGCATAGTTTGACAGCTAGAGTTTAAAATGTGCCTTTTTTTAATGGGTTCACGCATATACTACATGTAAAAAGTGTCAATCATTTATAATTGCATTTATCTCAATTTCAATCAAACATTTAGAAATTTCACGAGCGTTTACAAAGTCTTTCGCTTACCATGTTGTTTAGAAGAGTTAGCAAGTAATTGATTCTACGCGATAACTATCTTGAAAATTAAAGATAAAATCGATACGTGAACTATTGATAAAAACCTATTTCTTCATATTATTTTCTAGCAGTTATGCTAAATATCAGACAAATGTTTCATATAATTCTTTCTTGGACTCAAACTGGATTTGCCAAGAGACGTCTACATCATTGCCTGAACAGGTTCTTCGAGGACGCCAATTTCATAATAAAACAAAACAAACTAAGAAACAGCGACGTTCAATGCCGAAATCAATATTGCGGAAACAGTGCATTGAAAAAGAAACTCGAGATGTAAAATCATGTGATGTCTGCAAACACCGAATAAAGAAAAATCTGTGAATTTTATATACGCAATCAATGTAATTGCAATCTCCTGAGATTTCAATTTCTAAATGGTAATTTTAACGATAGATTAAACACAAGTTTTAAGCGCGAATTTTTTGAAGAGACACAGCGATAATTATTCACACATCAAAGATATTTTCTGCGAATCTCCACTACTTTCGCGCGGGATCGAAATTGATACTACATTGTTGCAATTGGGTCACGGCGGTCAAATTTCGTTACAGAAACCGTCAAGACGGACAGTTTGCATTCTCTCTACTTAAGTTCACGCACGTGCTCGGCGCTTGTCACGCACCTGAATATACTTTATACTATACTTACTACATGATGTTTGTGTGGTGGGGAACTTAGTTGTAGCCCAGACTTAAAGAAGAGAGGAATCGCTCCTCTTTGCTTCAAATAGATAGAGGTTCTGAAGAATCGCGGAAGATATTTCTTTAATTGTTGGGCTTTGTTGTGTCGCTTGGATTTTTTTCTCACAAACTCGACTGGGTGACTTTCAACTTTTGTGCAAAAAACAAGTAAGTGTCGCAAAACTTTTAATTGCTTCTTAAAATCTTTTTTTTTTCAAATAATTTAAAAAAAAAATATGAACAATTTTGCAAAACATAAAATTGTACGTTTATTTTTGAAATATGTATAAATTGTTAAATTATTTAATACAAACAAGTGTAAGATTAGTCCGTGACATATTCAGTTTATAATTCTTTGTTCTTCTATAGTAGAGCAGATTTTGAAGCAGGTTATAAAGAAAAAATCGATTTTATATTTAATTTTCGTTCAATAATCTTGAAACGATTTATCTAATCAAAGTGACCACAATAATGATTAATGTTATTCTTTTTTTCCAGAAGTAAAAATTATATATAGTTTTCATATTAATTAGAATTCAGTCTTCTTACATCTACTTTGTGTTTGTGCAATAATGTAACTCGCGCAAATTTTTTGATAGAAAACTACACACTATAAAGAGTTAACTGTTAATTTATTATTACGATGAACATTTCAACTTAATTTTTTTTCTCTTATCAAAAACAATGCAAATTCGAGCCGCTGAAAATATTTTTGTGTGAATGTCATTTTTGGAGAACAATCACTCGGTATTCAACGAGCCGATTGGCTTTCAAACAAAACCTGCGTGTTCGAAATTTGAAGATAATTCAAAAAACGAGGTCATGTGCGCGAAATTGTCGTTTACGTCACGCACACGCTCTTTTTTTATCTTTTCCACCTTGACAATTCTCTTTCTCGTTTATGTGTGTGTTAACTTCCGGACTCACCTTCGTTCGGCAACAACGTTAAACAAATATTTCGAAAAGTTAAACACCGTTTGTGTAGTGCCGAGTGCGAATCAAGGCTATCTATCGAGCAGCCACAGTAAATCGCGCTGCAAAACGCGTGTATGAGAAAATATCTGTCACACTTGCAAATTAATTAATATACAAAAATACATGAAAACGCAATTATCGCAAATCATAAAAATTATCGTAAAAAAATCAATAACATATATTCTTATTTCTTAATTGCACTAATTGCTACATTCTCTCTTCACAAAATTTTTGAGACTCATATGTACGTATACAGTCAGTCGTATAAGTCTACAATACATCCATCTCTAGCAGGAAAACTTAAAATAAGTTAAAGATATATGATGTTACAGGATTGTTTGTCTTTTTTAATTTATTCGCTTTTTTAATTTATTCCAAGTTGCAAACGTCTACGATAAACATCTTTAACATTTCTGCGTAAATTATCTATGCTCTTGCAAAAACGTACTGCCTGTATGATCAAAGTAATACTTACTTATAATAAGTAATATTAATACTCTCGAATATATTAAAATCTCTTTTGAATAGCGTTTTTATTATTCAAAATAATTATTATTTTAGCCATATTAGTAATAAATTTTTGTAAGAATGTACATAAATTTTTTATATTTATGAAATTCTGTTTATTGATATGTTTTTTTAAATAAATTTAGTAAATGCTGTTATTTTTTCTTGCAATATTTCTAAACCAATGACAAATATTTTAATAAGAACTACAAATCTTCATAGTTTTGTTAATATATTACAAATTTATTGTCATGTGTTATGTTGACTCTTGACTACATGTCTCTATCGGACATTTATCAGTTAGTAATCGGAATTTGAAACCAAATATTTGCCCGCTAATAGGAAAACCAAACTACGAAGAATTATGTAAATTTAATTTAATTATGTAATGTTATCTTCACTTGCGCTTGAAAAGTGTGATGTTAAAGTAAAAAAAATGTTAAACATGTAGTTTCGCACTGTCTAATGAATATCACATCCACAATTGAAAGAAACGATGCTGCTGATTTGTTAGAATAAAGACTGTAGTTAGCTACTATAGAAATCTGCTACTCTATAGAAATTGGTAACTGTAGCAGGTTTGTTGTTTTGTTATTCGTGTTTTACAAATCATTGCAAATTTTGTTCAGCAGCAATGCTAATGTAGAAACACAAATGTATGCAACGTTTTTAAAAAAAACAGCAAATACTTTAGATAATAGTTGTTCGGAATTTTCTTTTGTACATCAAATTCTACGATTTCCGTATACGCAGACGAGCGATACCAATTTTGATTGTTGTGTTGTTGTTTCAGAAGAGATCATGACGTTGTTACCGCCAACGCCAGCGCAACAGAAACGCATGAACGCGGAGCTCCCGTCTGATCCGGAAATAAGGAAGAATGATATCAGAGTGCTGCGACAATGGCTCTCCAAGCAGCCGCACTTGCCGAATCACATAGGTTCGATTTTTTTTTTGTTTCGTAAAAATCGTCATAAGTACGTCCGATCGGCTTTCAAAGACGATAAAGCCGTGGATAATCTCTCCGATGATTTGCAGACAATGACAAACTGGAAAGATTTCTCTACAACTGCAAGAACAACGTCGAGAGATGCAAATTGATCCTGGAACGATATTACACCGCTCGCACATCTCTGCCGGATTTTTTCGCTGTACGCGATCCGATGTCTCGGGACATTAAGGAGTCCTACGAAGTCGTGTAAATAAAAAAAATATTATGTTTGCTTTCGCAAATAAATCCCCACGAGGAAGCGTTAAATAATTCCAATGATAATGTTTTGCAACAAATTAGAAGTTGTGTTTACTACTGAGTTTTCTACGCAAATATTTCTCTGTTAGGAATTACTTCACCTTGCCAACGTTAACCGAGGAAGGATATCGCGTCACTATCGGCAGCCTAAATAACTTCAACTCCGACAAATTCTCGTTACAGGCACTAATCAGACGTATTCTAATGATACTCGACATTCGTCTGAAGGAGGAAGTCTGCTTGTCCAATATTATGGTTATAGATCTTAAGGTACAACACACAAGCGTAATTGTCTCAATTACTTCTTTTTTTCATGTTTTATTCGCGTCTCAATGTCACGTCACAGTTATTGACGACGAATATGTGCGCGACAAGGAATTTCTTGGCTTGTATTTTTCAAAATTTTTTTCCGAGAATTAAATTTATTAAATTCAAAGTTACTTAAAATTGACAATAAATTTAATTCTTAGAAAGACAATTTTTTTTAGAGAAGAAAAAAGATTGTTTTTCTGTTTTACGAGATGCAAACTGAGCATCGCGAATATAGATTTTCATGATTTTCACGATTGAATTTAATTCGAATTACACAAAGTGTATTGATTTACAAAAAAAAAAAAAAATATTTCGCAGCTCTCGCTAGCTTTATTTATTTCTCTCACGTAATTAAATGTATTAACGTTATTGGTAAATAACATTGAACGACATCCATTGCCTCGCCCAAGGAGCGAGAGATTGCAAGTTTTTTAATAATCTTATAATACCAGGATGACCCGAACTTATATACGTTCATACGTTGTGAAAAGAAGATATATACGAAGGATAAGATATAGAACCGCAGGGGAGATGAAACATGGAAGGGAAAGTTGCACTTAAGCGCTGAGCACATCGAGAGCACTCTCACCTAGTTACGCCGCTGTGTTAGTTTAAAAGTACACGAAACTGCGCGAGGCTAACAAAGTTTTATAAAACTAGTCGCAAAAAAAGATGAAATAAGATTATCAAGGAAAATGCTTCTTTATTGTTTCTTTTTTTCTGTGTGTATATGTGTGTATTTTCACTTTAAGAGATAACGCGGCGATTATTTATAGTTCTTCTAACATTAATTTCGAGGAAAGTTTTTATATATGATGTTTTAGAATGTCAGTCCAGCACATTTAGCAAAAGTCTCTCCGACATTATCCACTGTGAGACAAGCGTTGCTGGCGATACAAGATTGCATGCCCTTCCGATTGCACAGGGTTCACTTTCTTCACACGCCGTCTTACATCATCACTTTCATCAACTTGTTTTTGCCGATTTTAAAACAAAAATTACCTCAAAAGGTAAGAGGCGAGAATCTCGATAGAGCTTAAAAAATGAAAAAAAAAAAACGAGAACACATATGTTTTATGTTTGCAGTTTAATTTTCACAATGGCGGCGGCGAGGAACTATACGCGTACATGGACAAAGAAATTCTGCCCAACGAGTGGGGTGGCAAAGCGGGGACTATTAAGGAACTCAATGGTAAATGCACTGTTTTTGGTTTACGTTTTAAGAGAAATAAAATAAATTATTCGTAAGATGAAATTATGAGAATGCAGAATTCTCACGATATTTCAATTTTATAAATAAATCGAATTTATCGTATTCCCAAACGCAGACGCGTGGCAAGAGAAACTCGAGAAGAACAGAGATTGGTTCTTGCACGATGAGAAATTAAGTCGCACGAACGAGACGGCTCGTTTGCCGGAATTGAAGTCCTATTTTCTGAAAGACTTGGAAGGACTGCAGGGTTCATTCCGAAAACTGAACATAGATTAACAATTTCTTCGAGATCATATTCTTGAGCGAATAAAATGAATTTATTAATTTTCAATAATGTTATCTCTCATACTTCACTTTATGTTATGACAATTGTCTATTTTATTATATACAACATTTTTTACTACAAAATAATAATAATAATAATAATAATAATAATAACAATAATTATTGTAGATATAATAACAATAACTATTGTAGATATTATGAGCTTTGTTTTTATAAATTTTATTAAATTTTATTGAATATTATTAATAATAATAACGTATAAATTTGTAACGATTCTCGTGATTACGACAATAAATCTTTGGTAATTAATAAACTTTGTTTTCTAACAATTAATTTGTCATTCAGTGATCGAACGAGTTTTTGTTTGTTCGTTATTTTATGATATTAGTCTCAAGATAGCGCCACATAGTAGTTTTACGCTTTCGACGCGTTGCAATGTTATCTTTGTATCTTTATCTAATGAGCATCGGCCAATAATACGTTATAAAACTTAAATAAAATATTTATATATTTAAAAGCTACTCTGTTTAAATGGAGCAATGAAACTGTTTACATATTTTGTTATTAGCACAAAAATACGACACATGTTTAGTTGTGGCGATGCAGTTTCTCACCAATCTACATAAAAATACAATAAAATTACAAGAAATACGATTTGATATAAAATTCATCCAGCGAATCAAGTTACGTCGCATGTGTAAAACATTAATAAACGAAAGTTTCATTTTTAACACGACCTTGATTTACCGGCGATTTACGAGAAGAGATAATGCATAATACGAAACGGAATTGCGCAATTATTCGTAAAAACTATAATTTGTCGCAATATCAAATATAAAACATCTGAAAAAGTTGCGCTCCATGCGGTTTGCATGACCCAGATGCGGTTATCGATGTAATAGTGGCTGTCTAATCGCCTTGTGTTAGTCTGGCGGCCAAATCAATTTATTCCGGCTTGCCGATTTTATGCAACGTAACGGAGAGATCGTAAAACGCGTTTATGCTTCTGCGTATTGATGTTATCGATAGGTCGACGGGCAGAAGTGCGAGTTTTCAGATGCGGATCGACAGCGAATTTTGTTACTTCTTCCACGAAGCGCAAAAAAAAAAAAAAAAAAAAAAAAAAAAAAAAAAAAAATATCGTCTCGGAGAGGAAAAGCCGGAGGGGAGGAGGAAAGGAGGAAGCGAAAAAAAAAAAAGAAAAAAAAACATCTNATAGGTCGACGGGCAGAAGTGCGAGTTTTCAGATGCGGATCGACAGCGAATTTTGTTACTTCTTCCACGAAGCGCAAAAAAAAAAAAAAAAAAAACAAAAAAAACAAAAAGAAAAATATCGCAGCTTCGACCGGTTCGAAAGCGAACCGGCGCATACAAACGTTGTCTTCTTTCGTCCTCGCTTAACTAACTTAATAAGCTAATGATGCCCATCGTCTGATGCACATCGAATAATGCCTCTGTTGAATCTACTTTGATTCCTCATGCCGACCGCGAAGAGCGGTGGAATCATTGTATTTGCCGCTCGGTGTACATATATTAAGTACCGCTAAAGAGAGAGAGAGAGCGAATTTCGCGCGACGACGACCGCTGTATGACTACGTTTAACTTCTTCCACCTCTCCGTCCGCATTCGGATGTTGTGTTCACTCTTATTTCATTCCGCTCGCGTTTCAAGAATCGCACATATTTAACGCCTGTGTGCTCTCTCTCTCTCTCTCTCTCTCTCTCTTTCGAAACGCAACGAGCAGTCAAGAATATTTCTGTTGTCTGTTGTTTATTATCTTTTTGTTTAACCACTTGGCGCCTATTACGGATCTTCTCTTCGTGCGCACATATCTGTCTCTTCTTTATCTTGACGTATTGTTGAGCACAAAACAAGTGCAAATTTGGATCGTAACTCGTGAAAGTCATCTTTGCTATTTTTTCATATTAGTCCTGTTGTTCCAACGAGTTCGCGGGGAAACGAAAAATTATTATGACGATTTATTGAAATTAATTGCAAAATAATGCATCGATGATTAATTCGCGCACATGCCAAGTTTAAGCGTTTGCGTTGCTGTACGTGCGCAAGATTTTATTCATCAACGCAATATGCACATGAGAGCGCGGGAGCTATGTATACACTTGAGCGTATAAATAAAATACACGTGTACGCACACAAACGATCGTTTATTGCGCGAAGAAACTTGTTTTTCGAGCAATGAAACGCTACACACAAAGTAGTTCGTGATTCAGAGAGATTTTATTTTCCGCGGAACGAGGAAGATAAACAAGTCAATTTTCCGCATGGGATCATGAAAACTGCGCAATTTTTTGTATCTTTTTTAACTAATTAAATGCGTTATAACTGCGCGGGAACCGCTATCGGATATCAATAGAGTGTACTGTTCAAGTCATAAATTGCTGTCATGAAGTTGCTTGGCATGTAATATCATGTTGTTTGTGTTGTCACGTTACGTAACCACCAAGTGTTAGTCGCACTCTCTTGATCATTAATATTATTATCATTAATATTAATATTATTATTTACATTTGTCATTAACATTTATTAATTGCGTCCTGAGCGCAAAAACACTTATGTTAGTTATAAAGAAAATACAAAGAAATAAATGTTAAAATATAAAATAAATATTTATTAATTATAAAATAAATGTTTTTCTATATAGTAATAAACATTGTTTTTTATACATAGTACATATTCTATTTTTATTTATATCGTGTTTTATTTTTTTATTTATGTCTTTTTTTAACGGATTGAAAGTGTCATATCAGATGACGACGCGCTATTTACACCGTGACGATCAGAAATTGAAACAATAATACAATCGCGATTGGCTTTTTTATTTATCTACAAAATAGCTTGTACCATAAAATACCGTGTCAGACAGTGCCATGAAATGGCACTAATATGTTGTTATCGTCAGGTATCGCAATGTACATAACTCACATGTGAGGCTTGTTACGTGAATTATTTATCAATGAGCAGCGCGTGTTTGTCTTACTTCGCGCGCGAAGTCTTTCTCGCGTTTAATGCGTTGCGTATAAGACGCCGTTTTGCAGTGCCGCGATTTCAGTTTGCGGCCGATAATCAACCGAGGGAATTCGACGCGGTCGATGTTGGCAATTTCTCCTCCCCCGTCCTGGGAGAAGATAGGCATACGCTGGTTACGTGGGTGGACACACGCGCTGTGTTTGATTGCCCAGAAGCGTGTTTGTCGCTGCTTATTGGTACGTGCAAAGTATAAGACACGCGAGATTGCCATTATTACGTGTGTTTGAGTAATTTTGCGTATTAGACTTCCGGACAGTTCGCGAGCCATCGCCGCTTATATAAGTACAATGCCGATTAGTACGTGTCGCTCGTGTGTCGCCGTCGTCCGGGACAAGTCGCGGGGGCCAATTAATTAATCGGTTAAATACCACCGCTCGCGAATTGACTCCGCGCGTTGTTCACGTCGGGATCATATGTATAAATGTAATCGCTATCGCGAAACCGTCAATTTTCGCAATAACGGTAATCGTCTTCCATCGCGGTTCGGAGAAGTAAGCAACAAACGCTCATTCATATATACTTGAGCGCTTCGATGTTCAAAGAAAACATTTATTATTCTTTTCAACCGAAGTTTACGGAAAAAATTATAAGAGAAAAAGTGCACAATTAACTGGTAATTAGATACTTCGGGTTAACTAACAACTTCGGTAATTTTATCGCAATTTTCAATTGCACGCAACTCATCGTAAATATTGCGTAATAAGAAAAGAGTTTAATTTTTACGATCGTCTTGCGCGTCTTTAATTCGCATTGATGACGACTTCATGGTCATTCACCATTCGGTGTTTATTCGCGACGGAATATAATCTCAAGGATGATGCACGTGACCGTAAATTGCGGTTAATCTCGCGCGCGCGCGCGCGCGCGTCGTAGCGATAAACATCCTCTCTATGCAATATCAATCAGTTTACGAGTCGCGAACTTTAACGCGACGACGCGTGAGTGCTTGTACGCATCTTTCCTCTCTTTCGTTAAATTGCTAGAACTCTCGTAAAAACCTTTTTATTGTTCCTCTTTATCATGTCTGCGAACGTGACTGCTGTAACAATTAACAACGCGCGACGACGACGACGACGACGACGACGATGAGAAATGGCGGTAGGGAGAGAGGGAAAAGGGGTGGCGACGATAGTGGATCACACGCTCTCGCAACCCTTATATATCCCGCTACAGTGCGGCGGCAGGGTGGATTGATTTTTCGCCTTCTGACGTCACAGCGAATCTAGCATGCGCGCGATGGCCAAACGCGATACCGATATCGCGGTACCGGTGCAGATTTTTTTTGCAACATCTCTCGCGCTACAAGAAAAAAGGGAGCAAAAGTGTGTATTTCGTCATTTTTTACGAGAGTATTAAATCTCCATCGTTCCCCATCGTAGTAGCAAATTATTTTCTCTGGGAGGTTTAAGCGTCCTAACTTGACGAGAGACTGTTCGGAGATCCATTCAACGAATTCCATTGACGCTGATCAAACCCGTTAAGCGTGCTTACCAGTTATTGGCACATATACAGCCGGCAGATATAGAATGATTATAGCCGCGAGGAGGAAGGGTGGGGTCGAACGCACGTAGGAACATGGACAGGAACGACGAACACACAGTGTGTTCCAATAGCGAGCCCGCCGCTACCGAGAGGTATCGTTGTCGTTAAAAGCGCGGCAGAGAGGAGAGGGGAAAGGGCGTTTATAAAATACACCGAGAAGCTAGTTCGGTCGATGAGGGGAGGGTAGAGACGAAAAACGAAACGGGACAAACAACGTTGCGCGTTGTGGTTTCGGAGCGCGGAGAAGAGCGTCGGGGTCACGGCGGGTTCATTCAGCGATGTGCAGTTGGCTGGGTGCTGTCCGATCGCGTCTCGTCAGCTTCTCTTCGTCCCCTTCTCCCCGGCTTTCCAACAACCCCTGTCCCGTCACCTATTACGGCGCGCGATGGGACCGTCTCTCCCTCTACCTTACTCAACCCCAACTCGTGCACACTTTCTCGACGCTCGTCCCGTCGTCGACGATCGACCTTGTTTGCCTTTTTCTTTCCTCCACCGGGTTCCAAGAAAGAGAGACGTCAGAGAGACCGATGCGGCGAATAACGTCGTCGACGGCCGTTCGCGACTGTTGGACTACTTCGGCGCGCGACGATGTGCAAGACACGTGCGCGTTGACACGGCGGGCACAACGTGCTGGCGTTCTCATCGTCCACCTGCCTCTCGGGCCGCGGCAGCGCGCGGTGGCGGCAGTGTCAACGTCAGCCTCGACGGTGGCGGTGGCGCGGATAACGGCTTCGATCGGTCCTCGCAAAGCGGAGGTGGGTCAACTCGTACTGGCGCTGGAGCGGCCAGTCGTTGACAGGTGGTGCGCAGTTCTGCCCGCGACACACGGGAGAGTGCGCGCGATTTCGCGCGCTGCACACACACGTTCCTCTCCGCGAGAGCAGAAACTCGATTCGCACGCGCTATAATTCGGCGCTCCCTTTGTGAGTTATCTGTCCAAGAGCAAGGTGGAGAAAGAGAAAGAGAGAGAGAGAGAGAAAGAGAAAGAGAGACAAAGAGAGACACGTAAAGAGATCGGAAAAGGGAGAGAGGGTAGGAATCGTAGAGGGGTGGATGCGTGAGGTGGTGGCTCTCGCGGATTAGAACTACGTCAGGATCGAAAAACGGGGAGGTCTCTGTCGACGTTTCGAAATCTTCGGTGTTGACGATTCACCGCGCGATCGCGTAGTAGTACATGAAGAACGTCAAAGAACGCGCGCGACTTTCCCGCGGAAAGAAACTATCTCTTCTTCGTTAGACGAAACAGAACAGTCGGGAAAAAGATCGAAGATCTCGTTCCTTCAAGCGCGATCGAAACGCGCCGATCGAACGCGGATCGGAGAAAAAATCCGGAGCACCCGGATTCGTTTCTTTCTTCGATAGGAAATGCCCCTCCTCGCTCGGCCGCCCTGCCAGGACGTCAGCTGGAACTTGCGTGGAGCGTCCTGGTTGCGCGATGTGCCGCCGCTGCAGTTTCTAGTTCGTCGTTGCGCTCCGACAGCGACCGAAGACGGGAGGAACGTCGTTAGGAAGAGCGACGATCGTTAGGAACTCCCTTGTCGTCGTCGAGCGCGCGACTCGCACGACGTGGTGCAATCTCTCGCTCTCTCTCTCCTCTTTCCGCTCGGGGAGAAAATTCCCCGTTCGGACGTCGCGCGGATATACGGGACGAGACATCCGGACGAGAGTTACGCTTCAACGAGCCGTCAACAGGCGGGAGAGTGCACGCGGCTAATTTCTCGTGCGTCGACTGTGGACTCCTCCTCCTCTCGCCCTCTCTCTCTCTCTCTCTCTTTCTTTCTTTCTTTCTCTCTCTCTCTCTCTCTCTCTCTCTCCTCGATTACGCACAGTGGTGTCGATTGCATACGTGTACATACACACGTATATATACGTCGCACGTTATATATATACGTACGTCACACGGCTCCGCTCGCATATAGCGAGAGAGCGTGGCCGCATCTCGTCGCGTGTAGCACGCGTCGTCGTCGGCCGGAGTGAGCGAACCGGCGTTGCAGTGCGCGAATTCCTGTCGCTTGTCCAAGCGAATTCTTGCGATTCTCCTCGGTGTCGTCGTCGTCGTCGTCGTCGTCGTCGTCGTCGTCGTCGTCGTTCCCCCACGTCTTGACGGAAGATCATCGCGAGTGTGCGGGGGAAAAAAAAACGCAGAGCGACGAGGAGCTGAACGTTGCGTAGCGTAAATTGGCCACGAGTAAGTCGGAACCGGGAGACCACGTAGTCGATGTTGCATGTATGTGCGTATATACATGTTTCGCGAGAGAAGTCGTCGTTTCCAACACACGCGCGAACACACAGTTTTCTGAAAATTGCGCGAGAGAGAGACGCAGCACCCACGCGCGCTTCTTCATTTCTCCTTCTGGGTTATTTCGAGAGAAACGTAGTTACGAGGAAGTCGAAGCTGCTCGATTGAGCGTCGATCTATCGCTTTTATATATGGTCGCGTGGTCGTTGATTCCGCCTATTTATCTAACTCTATTTCCGTCTCTCATTCCCTCTCTCTTTTTTTTTTCTATCTTTCCTTTTTTATCTATCCGTCCGTCTCGCTTTTAAACTTATATAAGTGAAGATCGTCTGCAGAGAGCATCGAGTGCGAGCGTCCTCCGCGATGCAGAGGCGAGCCTCGAACTTGCAGCACCCTGGCCTTGCCGCAAATGCTAATGTTGCTGCTCGCGAACTGACATTAACATTAGCGCATACGCATTACGTGCGCTCGCACGTGTTGTATTAGCGTGTACACAACACACATCGTCGTCGTCGTCGTGTGCACACATCGGGCCGATCGAACCGAGTTATGTACTCTGTCTTCGCGCTGGTTATACGCGGTGTTCCGAGACCACCGGATGATGTTCTTTCAGAAACAATTTGCTCTCCTCGGCGAAAAAAAAAACGCGTTTCATTCTGTGAATTTTAATTTGAAAACTCTCAGACGCAAAAATACGCGACGCGATGGGAAGACGCTAAAAACTATCTCGACGTATTTTCGTTCGGGAAAGATTCGAGTTTAGCTAATTAGAAAAAAATTCTTCATTAATTTTTTCGAGAACATTCTCGTATATGTACATATTCAGTTCGTTACATTCCTTGTTGCGGAGTACGAATATCTCGTTATTGTCGCAACACAGACTACAGTACTACTGAATTATAGATTTTCCCCGTTTTGTCCCGACTGTTTCCTCAAATTACGCAAATCCTCTCCACACGACTGAATGCTACACACAGAAACGATTAATTCTCCGAGTAATCGTCCGCGAGGGGGTTTGAATAACCGACTCGACCGTCGACCCACGGAGCCGCGACACCGCGAAAAATTGATTTATACCCTCCCCCTCTAAAACACGTTAGAGACGCGCGTTGTATTGCGGTATATCGCGATCGTTTGCCCTAACGACCGATTGCTGCGTGATATCGTGATTTATGTAAACGGCGCGTGCCGCGCTTGATTTTCTACGCTGCGTTCTCGGACGAGAGATGGATATCGTCATCGAGAGAGAGAGAGAGAGAGAGAGAGATATTGGGAAAGGACGCGCTGATAAGAACGACGGAAACGCGATAGGCGCGCTTGTTCGCTGATAATGAGAGACGCGTCGAAAGTGACAAGATGCACACACGTGATACGGCGATACGTTTCCTAGCAAAACATGCCTCTGTGTCGAGGGGCGCACAACGGAACGTATATTAATGGTGTTCTGCATTGGTATCCCACTAGGAATATTTATGACAATTAAGTGTCCCGTGAGCTTAATTGCGATTTCCCAACCCGCAAAGTCCGAGAGCTTCAGCTTCGATCGCTTGTGCTGATAATTTTTCCGCAATACTTTTTTAATTCATATTCGTTGTAGCTCGTAATTAAAATATTGTCGGATAGAAGGAAGAAGAACGCGTTCAAAAGAAAAATTTTTAAAAATTTACGTAATTACGTATTTACACTCGAATATTGTCGCTATCTATTAGGCAAATCTAATTTGACTCTCGTTATTATTCTTGTCAGTTTTAAGAATCTCATTTTATTGATTCGACGATTAGTATCCGTTCTTATTACGCGCAAGCGGCTGCAACGCTGTGCAATTAAAAAATTCTTTTTTTAAGTATATACCATAGAAGAACTGAACTGTAACACACACGCCCCGCACAAAGATGCTATTTTTGTGCCCGGCTGTACGTAGCATAGTCGCCTCACTGTGCAGTAACAGAATAGTCGCGTACACGCAGCATCGCAGTTCCGCGATTAGCCGCTGAAAGAGGCCGGCAATAAGAACCACCGTTTACCTAATTAATGCGGCCGACGACGGACGCGGACGGTTGCGCGGCTCGTTGACCCCGCGCGTGTAACTCTTGGACTTGAATCGTCCTTTGGCCGAATTGGCTTACAGTCGCAAACACACACACACACTCACGAAGTTGAGACATTTATTTCTCTTCTCTCCCGATGAGTTTTTTCGGACTCATTGGCGAACTCCGAGAGAGAACAAAAGAGCTTCTCCCGTTTCGAGAGCTCAATCCATTTCGAAACTCATCGAGGAAAATGTGTGTCTCAAAACTTTTTGTCCGCAATTATACAGGGTGTCCCGAAGTTAACGACGAAGATCCTTTTACCGGCAGACTGTTTTTGTGTGGCTACACTTTGAAGTCTGATTTTTTTTCAAGAGCGAAAACTTTCGAGAGTACCGACAATTTTCAGTAATACAGACTACTACAAAAAAGTGTTTTTCGTTAAATTATGCTCCTCAAGAAAAGTCAAAGTAGATAATAAAACGTTCTACTAAACTCTTCTACGTTCTACTAAACTCTCGAATCTACTTTACTTGTGACAGTTTCTTAATTCGAGACTAAGAAAAGTTAGTCTTCGTATTTTCGCCAAAAAGCAACCTCAAATGACTACGGTCTGTCGATAAAAAAATCCTTTTACTTTCGGGTCACCTTGTACATTCATCGGCGACGCGGGGGTGGTTTAAAGGCGAATAACGACAATGAGGGAAAGGGGAGGGTGAACGACGATTATGGTAGAAAAAAAAAGGGTAGCACACCGACCCGAGCCACCCACTGACTTTTTCTACTTGGATATAGCGGCGGCAGCGGCGGCGGCGGCGACGGTTCTCTTCTACTCGGTTCTCGCTGACCTCCCCGTGACCCGTTCTGCAATGCGTCAGCAACGATGTCTACGCGCCGCAATGCACGGCTTCTACCGCCGCCGCTGGCGCGAATCTACAGTTCGCTCCCGCAACACGTTCTACATCCGTCCTCCGCTTCTCTCCCGAGCCGACGGCTACACATTGCGGGCACATCAAGCGCGCGTCACATACACGCCCGCAATATTCATCCAGACGCATTTTTCTTCTTTTTTTTTTTTTCGTAAACAGCGGTCGAGCAATAACTGGTCAGTGCTTGATACGTATTATATTTTTTTACGAGTGTGTGTGATTTTAAATTAAACTATAGTTCAAATATATATGTTGAAAGTATACGTAAATTAAATACAAAGAAATAAAATCATATAAAATATAAAACTAAATTTATAAGAGTGAGAAAATAATTTGTTCTAATTTTTATAATATGTTATGATTTTATAATATATTATAATTTTTTGCAATATACTTGCATATATATTTGTAACTTTATAATGTTTTTTCTCAAACACTTTACATTAATTTTTATTCTTACTATCTGTTACCTTCAACATCGTCAGCATTTGTTAATTATTCTCCGCGAAAAAAATACCGAGACAACGAATGCAAAAGTCATTTACGATGCTTACCGTGTGTCTCGCAGTAGCCCAAAGCTATTAATCGCACGGAGTATCATCAAAATATAAAAGCTACAGTCGATGGCGCGTATTTTTATTCCAGAAGGCATTTCAGAATGGTTTCGAAATTACTCGAAATCTCGTGTTGAATTCATTATTCGATTCGATTTACGGAAATATTCGCCGGAGTTGTTTGACTATTTAAAGCGGGCTAATAGTCGTGTTACTATATACACCGATGACGTCAGCTCAATATTTCTCTGACTAAATACGTTCTTGTAAAAACATATAGAACAGTGAAACAGGATCTGAAATCAAAGCCGTGGAAATAGCTCATCGTCGTTGTCGTCGTCGTCGTCGTCGTCGTCGTCTGGTGCGTCGACGGTCAAGGTTTCGAGAATCCGTAAAAACAATGAAATCACATTGTGTGCGATCAACGTGGTTATTAATAGTAATTAAATTGATCGCTATAGAACAATTTTTTCTTTGAAAGCCGATAGATATGTGAAACGACGAGGTCTGTATATATTTCCACAGTTTTAACTTTTATTTCACTTTGATCTCTCGATTTCGCGTACTTTTGCAAGAGAACGTCAAAATTTCGATGGATTTCTCTCGCTTCTCTGACGTCATTGATGCATACAGTTATATTGACTTTCGTACCGCCTTGTACACCGCGCGATAGTTTCCGTATAAAAAAAAAAACTATTGAGTTTGTTTTTTGTATGATAAAATCTTGCAAGCATAATAATATAAAATTACGACTCTGTGTGCTAATAAACTCGCGAAATTCTGACAATATTGTTCGTCAACAAAGCAATGACTGAACGACGCTCACTTATAATCGTTGTAATTACGACGATTTAAAATGATCAGGTCAGTATCAAGCGAAAATCAAACGTTTTAATAGCGTATTGTACATAAAAAATTACAAAACGAAGTTTCATAACGCAAAATAATTCGAACTCTCGTCGGAGAGTCTTCTTCAGTTGCAAATTAACAAAAGTAGAGTTAAGATATAATTAGCAAGAAGTCGCAAAATAAAATGAATGTGACGCAAGTTGAAGGAGGTAAGTGTTTGACGGTTGATATAGTTGTTCATGTTAAAATAATTTGATAAACGTGCTCAAAGTACGGAAAGTGTACGTAAATACTCCGGAGTATGTGTAATAAAATGTGTAATTACCATATGGATGACAGCCTGTAATAATGGAGTGTGAGCAGAAGCACTCAAGAAATAAAGCGATGTACTAAAAGAATAAAATTCACAAATAACTTACTTGAAAGTACACAATCAGTAAGTAAACAAGATGTTATAGAGTCAGAAGCAAGAGGCAAGAGATTTTTATATGTGTATCCCCTCTAAAGAGATGATGTACCAGGATAAAAAATCACTTTTAACGGTGAAAACATTCATGATTTCATGTTGTTAAGTAAATTGAAATATGAGGTGTCAAGTAAACGTTCATCAAAGTATTTTAACATGGATGATTATCAACCGTCACTTACCTTCTCAACTTGCGTCACATTAATTTTTATTTTGCAACTGGTTCTTGCTAATTTACATCTTATAACTTTACTTTTGTTAATTTGCAACTGAAGAAGACTTCAGTGAGAGTTCGAAATATTTTGCGTTATGAAACTCCGTTTTGTATTAAATTTTTACGTACGATGCATTATTCAAACCCGGATTTTTTTGCTCAATACTGACCTCGTCATTTTAATTTGTTTTTACAACACGAGCGTTTTTTAATTTAAGTTACGACGATTTGTTTTGTGTTTTGTTTTCTGCAATTTTCCAATGCGTAATACCGCGAACAACAAAGTCAAACTCGGTAAAGATCGATCGAGACTTGTTAAAAATTGACAGCGACTTTCGTTGGCAGTTCCAAGTGACATTAAATATCCTACTATCTCGTTTCTTTTGTCACATACGTAAGAACTGCATCGTGCATATGATTTATTGCATATTATTTGTAACACATCGTTCACGATGTGACGTATCTAAGCACATTAAAAAGCATCGCTGAAATAATAAGAGAAACGAGACGAAATAAGTAAAAAAAGAACATATGTTTTGAATTTGAGAATTAAAAAATTTTTGCTAATTAACTTTACGGATTTGGAAAAATCGATTTTTTTTTTTTTTTTGTGTTCCAGCAGCGGACAACTGTCAAAACAGTTAAATTAATCGGCTACTAATTTCCGACAAATCGAAAACGAACGAAACGTTATCTCGCTCGCGTAATATTCAAGTGTTAAAATACAACACTACAGAATACACAAAAAATTACAGCAGCAATTACAATAGCAATTACTGTCATTCCGCTTGAAGGAATTCTAAAAACAATATTGATCACCGGTATTGAACGATTATTATGTTTTTGCGTCTATTCAAAACCGTTCGATAATATATATCTGATGTAAGAGAAACGATTATACTTGCTGATTATACTTGCAGATTATACGTTACCTAAGAAAAAAAAAAAAAACGAATTGACACGCAAAGAGTCCTGATTTGGCTAATTATTTTTCTGATCAATACACAGTTTTCGCGTTTACGAAGCTATTATCGATATATACGGTCACGTGCGGACACGAGGCAAAAGCGTACATATATACCATACATATATACCATACAGCCGGAGGGAGGAGAGGGGTGAGGATTGTACATAGTTCATTTCCAATTCATTTTTGGCCGCGCGATATATGTATGTAACGCAACCGATTTGCTGAATGAAGAGAGAGAGACCGGGGAGCGGAGACTTTGCCACACAAATTCCATTTCACGAAAGTAGGTCTCGTCCAAAGACATTTCCCGGAAAACGTCAGCGAAACAAGCGAACTATTGAACGACGAAGCTTTCGATTTTCGCGTCGCGACTCAAGTGAATATTAACGTTTCGCATATATATATATACAACGTCAGTGCCTGGTTTGTTACCTGGCATTATCGACATGTTTTCCTTCAGACGCACAACATTATCGTAACAAGCGGATATTATAACGTTACATATACATATATATCAGTCGCGTTATATATATACATTATATATTCCACCTTGTGAAACACGCGTTTGACATGAAAGTCGCGGGCGAAACCAATTCAAGTTTTCTTATCACGTAGCTTTTACTTCACGTCCATCACGTTGACTAGATTAAATCTTCAGCCGTGCTGATCAAAGTGAACGAATTATGGACGTTCCACGTTATCTGAAATCGCGAGTGACAAGCCTTGAGGGAACTTTATCATCCCGTGTTTGAATAAAAAGGGTTCCGCCTCTCTCGGTAGAATATTCATCGTTAATACAGTTCATGCATCTTTTAACACAATCAAAGAAATCGAACGGCGTTCAATGTTGAAACCAGATACGAGTTTACCTGACGTTAATGAATACTTAAGTTGGCACACGTACATACGTATGTATGTATATATAAATATATATGCAACTTGGCCCGTTTCGAAGCTTCCAAGAATCCTTAGGTATGTTGCACACAGTTCGACGGTTCACCCAGATAGAATGTAAACGCGTTTCTGTATTTTTTACGTAAATAAAACTCGAGTAAGACTCGAGAGAACGAAACGAGAAAGTTGAATGAAAATTCGCAGAAGGTCAGTACAACCGCCCGAGAATGGAGTTTATCGAGCGGCGGGAAAGAGCTTTGAGAATGAATCAGCCGCGGTGCTATATGTCCCGTGCGTTCCGTTCAGGGTTAAGGTGATGCGCGGATAATGCGCGAGATTACGGTTAAACAAAAAGCTTTCGATTCTAAACATAGAAAGCTCTATCGCGGGGGTTAGATCAATAGGCGCAAGCTGCGTATATATTTGGAAAATCCAAACGCGCTTCGGGATTCTCACCCCTTCAAAGCACGGGCCGTGCTTAAAATATCCACCCGCACGAACGTGTTCGACATATAACGATGCCACCGTTTTTCGCCGGCACGTATTACGATTATTCGTAGCCGCAATTTTCGAGCGAGCTTTTGTTATCGGAGGGAAGAGGGAGGGCTCGATGTGACGGTCGCGATATTATGTGCTGCCTTACATTATTTTCGGGCACGCGGAGAATGTCGCTCCCTTCTCTTCTTCGTTCTCGCGATCGACCCGAGCACAAATCGAGGAGAGAGGTCAAGGGAGAGTCGTCTCCGATTATATGACTCTCTTACATATCTTGGAACTAATAAAAAGAACATCAATACACATGTATCATCCGCGTGGTAACACGCGATTGATCTAATGTAGATTTTATTCTTAGTAATTATGCGACACATATACTCGCGTCCCGCGATGCAAACGATTTATTTAAAAAGTCAAATAGATGTTTCTCTCCCTTCTCCTCCTCCTCCCCCGGAGCGGCTATAAATCGCTAAATAATTTACACGATGGATGGACGACACGGAGTGTTATATAAAAGACGCGCCATAAACAGTTGTCGAAAGCGAAGCAGTTGTCGTCGCGGTGAGACGACAGACGAGAGAGTTTCATTGTCCGTGGACAATGTGCGTGTTTTCGAGGAAGGGAAAAAAATACAAAACAACGTGTCGTTTTTCTTGTATCACTGTAGATTAGAGCGTTATCATGTGTCGTCCCGTCTGTTTGAAAAAGAAATAGCAATAGCTATTCGCGAACGAACCGTCACGTATTATTGACGCGTCATTTCCGCGTTCAGTTGTAGTGCATAATCTTATCGACGGCACGAGCACGTCGTCACGCGGTACCGGTCCGAGTGTCGGATGTGGTGCACGCACTCGGCGGCTGCCAGAGAAACGCAAGCGGCAGTAGCATCGTCCACGTCGGTGACAACGATACGGAACTTGAGCGATCTGGCAGGTGAGCGGGCATATTGCATGAGAAGGGGAGACTGCCGGTGATGGACAATGAGCAGCCGCACCAGGAACTGGTCAAGTGCGTGGTCGTGGGTGACACGGCAGTCGGAAAGACCAGGCTGATCTGCGCCAGAGCCTGCAACAAGCACGTGTCACTGTCGCAGCTACTGACCACTCACGTGCCCACGGTCTGGGCGATCGACCAGTACCGGATCTACAAGGATGTGAGTTTTGATACGCTTGTTTTTTTTTTTTTTTTTTTCTTTTTTTATCATCTTCGTCGTTATATATCAAAGCAGAGAGCGGAGGTGTTATCGATTTCGCGGGTAAGATAACAGTGTTAAAATAGCGCGCGATGATATGTGTGTTGTCAGGTGTTGGAGCGATCTTGGGAGGTAGTAGACAATGTAAACGTGTCGCTACGTCTCTGGGACACGTTCGGCGACCACGAGAAGGATCGACGTTTCGCATACGGCAGGTAAGAGCCGTCGTTATGTATAACGAGGAAGTTTTTTTTCCCATAGTTGATAATTGATGTTAATTGAGAGGTTCTATTTATCTCGTCACACACACACAGATCCGACGTTGTGCTACTATGCTTCTCCATAACCAACCCCGTTTCCTTGCGAAACTGCAAGGTGATGTGGTATCCCGAGATAAGGAGGTTCTGCCCGCAGACGCCGATCCTGCTGGTCGGATGCAAGAACGATCTGCGATACATGTATCGGGACGAGACTTATCTCAGCTACTTTCGCGATCGCAGTCCTTTCGTAAGGTGAGTTATTTTTTTTATCGCGAAAAATGAACTAGAAAGTTCGAAACGAGGTACGAAGTTTTTTAATTTTAGAAAATCGCAAAAAATGTTAACACGGTTACGAAATTTATTGTTTTAACAAGAAGGATGTTAAATTTATTTCACTTCTGAATTTTCTGATCTTCGACGATGACAATTTAATCTCGAAAGAATAAGTTTTTTAACGAAGTCGATTGCTTCGTAAAAATATATTAAAAATATCGATAAAAACCTCATTTTAAATTCATATTCTATATATTATTCTTTAATTATTTTTAACGACTGGCCATCATTTTTTGTCACAAACACGAAACTCGTGTGCGCGACTCGATTTTTAGAGCCCCGTATGAAACTCATTCAATCGCATCGGTGCCTCCTCCACGATGCCCGGTTGACCAAAGTGTGCCAAAGTATTGATCCCGGCGAGTCTTTTCGCAAGAGCTTCCTCTCGAATTCTTTTAACGGCAACGTACGTAAAAAAAAAAAAAAAAAAAAAAAAAAAAAATATTCATTATGATCAGCTTACGCGACATCCCGACATATGAAATTTATGTTGGCGCTGCGCGAGGATCGATTGAAAAGCTTAAAATTTTCCGATGGCCGAGTAATAGTAGGTCGAGCCAAAATTAACCGCCGCCTTGACATACGGCGATTACTCTCTCTCTCTCTTTCCCGAGAGAGGAAAGCCTAAAAGTTCCTTGTGACTTTTAGCAAGCCCTTTTGTACATATATTCCTAGCTCGCGGTCGAGATGACTTCATTGTTATTTCCATTCTGTATCCCCTTTATTCGCTATCGTTCGTTTTACGACGTCGCGTCGATACGTATCACGTGACAATTTCCGACCGACGCGTCCGGGCAACAATTTGTCTTGTCCGATTATTTGATTGAAATTTTATTCGCGTAATGCAGGGCTACGAGGAAGAGCGATCTGGTGATGCCGGATCAAGCGCGGGCGGTTGCGCGAGAACTCGGTGTTTACTATTACGAGACGAGCGTCTTCACTTATTACGGCGTGAACGAGGTGTTTGAAAATTCGATACGCGCCGCTCTAATCGCCCGTCGTCAGCAGCGCTTCTGGATGACGAACCTGAAGAGAGTGCAAAGACCTCTATTACAGGTATGCAATAATAAATCACGATGATTCACGAGATCATCGCTTTAGACGCAGAAATAAAGTATTTGCTCGTTTTGTAAACTTGATTACAACACACATTATCACCGTCTAGTAATTGTAGACACAAATAAAAAATAGAAAATAAATAGAAACATTTGCTTTGGAAACATAATATTGTTCCGCGGATTGTAAGACGCGACGATTTTTCTTCTTCCAAAACGCAGGCACCGTTCTGCCCGCCGAAGCCAGTGCCGCCGGAGGTGTGTCTAGCCGCGAGTACCTACGAGGAGAACATGAAGAGCCTGTGGGCGAGGCCGGTTCACACGGATGTCACTCTGATCGCCGGCAACTGCACGTTCTCCGCACACAGGTGCCTGCTCGCAGCGGCGTCGCCCGTGTTCCATCGGTTGTTCTCGATGGAGCTCTCCCACGAGTTGACACCGCGCAGCTCCAGCGAGTCCAGCATGGTATATGCCAGCTCTATCAGGTTCGGAGGTAGTTACAGGATAACACAATAACACATGTTTTCCCTTATTGTCTCGTCAAGGTGAGCACTTTCGGCGAGGCTACCGTCGGTGACTTCAACGACGATACCGAGTGCCTAATTCGTATCGATCAAAGCAAACCCGCAAAGTGAGTTGATACCTTCCTCTCGTACGTTTATTCCCTGTATTAGTTAACTGTTTATTTGGCAAGCCCGCAACAATCAGACACACACACACACACACATACACACACACATGGTGGAGAATCAGGTCTTTGCGACACACGACTAACGCATACGCTAACAAACGCTGCGTATAAATGTCCGCTTGTGTTCGCAATGTACTAATAGATTGTACACACGTGAAAAAAAAAAACGCTTTTGTCATGCGGCAAAGTTGACACACATCGCTTGCAAAACAAATATATTGCCAAATAAAGAGTTAAGAGCAATTCTTCTAGTCTCTGCACGGTATTGTATTGTATTTATATTTCTGTTTTTTTTTTATGTTTTCAATGTCGACACGTCCATTTAGCGTAGTGAGACGGTACACAGTTTGCAGTATTCCGCAAAATAGATCGTTTGTATATAGTTTATGTCCGAGGAAGCATCGAGAAGAGCGCGCGAATAAGCGCGATCGTGATTTTACAAACGAGTCTTGTTGCTTTTGCAGAGTCTGGGAACAACTCAAGCGACGATCGAGTTTTCAAGTACTGCCGACGATGGATAATCAAAGGAAGACTTACGGCGCGACGAGGGAGCTCAATCATCCTGCCTTCCAAAACATTCGAATATGTCTGGTGAGTCTCGGGACGAAGGGAGAAAAATTGATTTATCTTTTTCTTTTCTTATTCTAATCCGGACGATTGTTTTTGCAAGACCGAGAACGCGAACGGAGTGCAGCAGCCCATGACGGTGGTCACGCTGTCGAAGCTGATCACGCCGCAGGCGATGCAACAGTGCTTGCAATTCATTTACACGGGCAGCTTGGATAAACGGTATCACGATCTACAAGTACGTTGACTCGGTAGAACATTATTGTAAGAGAAAAAAAAAAGAAAAGAATACTTTCGCGACTGTAAAGAGAGTAAACCTCTCCGTCGCAAAAGATAAATCGTACGAAACGCGACGTATATATACACGAGCGAACGAGAGATCGCGCGTTGTTGGGTTCCTCTTATAAAAGTTTTTTTCTGTTTATCCAGTAAATTGAACAATGATAGCGAGCGTTGTGTCCCTGACATATCGCGTTGTTCGCGATACGTCAGAGTGTTGTTTGTACAAAAAAAGTTCTTCTCTTTCTATGAGCGCGAAACGTAAAAAAACTCGCAGGTGTTTGCAGTGTACACAGTAAACTAACGCGGCTCTATTCTTTCAGACAGCTCCTATCGGGCTTCTACTGGTTAGTACAAAGCGTATGATGCGTTTTGAAAAAACAAAGAAAATTAATGAACAAAAAACAACAACAATTTGACAGTCGCATCTCAATACATTTGTATACGTGCCACACATAAGTAACTTTGCGCACGCACCGCACGCACATTACGTACATTACATACATCAGTAGCCTCATCTAGCTATATAGATCCGTTCCGACTTCAGAGACTTTATAATTGCCAGATCACAACATCACAAGCTTGTCGTTAACTACGTCAATCAGTCATCGCTATAGCAAAACTCGTCCTCTCGTTCTTTCGACATCATCGAAACGCGGAAGGGGATGTTCTCTCGAGGAACATCGGTTACGCGGGGATGCATGGACACGTTTCCGATCGTTCTCTCATCGAGAACATTCCGAGATCATGTGCCTATAGTAGGGTAGGACCTAAAACTTAGCGATATCCTCGGAAGCAATTAGATTTTCGTCTTTCTTTCTGTCGTTCATATATTTCTACGTTGATATATAAGTGGTACGCTGATACACCGCCGACTGATTTTCTTCCTCTCCGATCGCTCTTTGCAGGAGATCAGACAGGCGGCCGAATTCCTCGAGCTGCCGCAGTTGCTCATGGTGCTCGGCAGCATACAGACGTGGGAGCAGTTCGTCAATAGAGATCTCAAAACCCGGTACAAGCAAGTGGTTAGACAACGATTGGAAGACATTTGTCTGGAGCAAGGTGGGTTGTCGTCAATAATCGCATAATTGAGATATGGTTGTCGCGGATTGATTTTTGATTCGTCAACGTTGATACGCTTAAGGTCTTTTTGCCGACGTGGTGTTCGATCTGGACGACGGCAGCGTACCGGCCCACAAAGCGATTCTCACTGCCCGATGCGACGTGATGAAAGCCATGTTCTCTGGCGATTTTCGCGAAAGCAGCGCAAAAGTCGTAAGTGTAATATTTGTTGTAAAATATAGATATTTTAATTCGAAATCTGCGTATATAATTAACATGTCTCACGATTGCGACGAGCAGATAGTCTTTCCTGGAGTACGGGAGTACACATTCCACAAGCTGCTGTGCTATCTTTACACGGACGAAGTCCCGGCGATCTCCTCGGCCAGGTGTCTGAATCTGTTGGAACTGGCCAACAGACTCTGTCTTCAACGACTGGTGAATCTGGTCGAGAGCAGAGTGATCGAGGATCTTGAGCGTCTTTCCCAAAACGAGGGAAACGAGGCCGTCGAAAACTGCCTGAGACTGTTGGAACCGTGCAAGGTCGGTCTCACCAAATTTGTTCACGTATAAATCTGCAGTACTTATTGATTAAACTGCAACAATGGCAATAGCTATATATACTATGTGTATATTTAACGCTGCCTTACAGCTGCATAATGCCGATCAGCTGGCCGACTGGTGCATGAATCATCTCTGCGTTAACTATAACAAGCTGTGCAAAATGTCAGCTCGCAGCGTGCGGTTGCTTCATCCCGAGAATCAGGAATATCTGAACGAACACCGATGGCCGCCGGTCTGGTACGAGCATTATCAAAACATATCGCCAACATTTATATTTTTATATATTTTTTTTTTAATTTCTAAATCTAATATTTAATTTAATATTTAAAATTTAATACTTAATTAAATCTACTTTAATATTCGTTCTTGACGCAGGTATTTGAAGGACTACGATTATTATCAGAAGTGTTTGGCGGAACAGGATCGCGAGAACAAGCCGACGTTGAAGCGTAACCGCAACCAGTCCGGCTGCCTATGTTTCTCGGGCTCGAGTAAGACCAGACGGGAGGGTAGCACCGGGAACGGCGGCGCGACATCGACAACGTCCACCGAGACGCCGGCGGACCGGCCGCTCTTCGACGCCTCCACCGAATCCGGCGAACAGGCCGTATGACAGGAGCCCAGCGGCCTTAGCCGCTCCGTCAGATTTATCCTGGTCCTACCTGTGCTCATGGTCTTCATATGCACTATTTTTACCATTTTGATACTGCTACAGATTTATACTTAAGCGGACCGCAAACATCGGCGTGATTACGCGTAAGTACACACACATACACACAATGACATATAAATACAAACACACACATACGAAGCCGATTGATCGCGACGAAAACCGATCCAATGGTAAGAATGCGGGAAAATGCCGTTCGATTTCAACTCGTCGAGATCGAATTTCTTCTCCCTCCCCGTAATGTGATTTTTTTTTTTTTTTTTTTCTATAACAAAACTAACTATTTGTAAGATCGCGACAATTCGGATCTGTGCGAGCGTCCGCGGATTTCGGATTTTCGCGACCGACGTGAAAATCTTTTCACCTTCCGCAAGCGGCAGCGTGAAATGAGAATTGTGTGTTTTGCGCGGGGAGACAACAACTCCTTATGTGTACTTTCTACGCGTTTTGTGATAAACTGTGTACATTCAGCGACAAAACTGTGTGGATGCTCATACAAAAAAAAAAAAAAAAAAAAACGAAGAAAGATCGAATCGCTTTTCCTTATTTCATCTAGTATGTTTCTTCGTATATGTAGAAATAATTTTTGATACTGATGAACACATATCGAGAAATTTTTTATATACGCGGTATAGAAAAACACTCGTGCGCGTGTTTCGCGAAAAAATAAGATCGACGATGTGAGAAAGCTGAGAAAAGCGGAAACCGATAGATAGTGCGTGGTTGGTATTGTTCCTCGTCTCGGACTTATGTGTATAAAATATAAGAAGTAACAATTCGTGAAACATAAAGTTCATATCAGGAGAAACAATAAGAAAAATGATAGAGAGAACTAGGGGAGAAATAATTTGTATTTTTTGTTTTAAAAAATAATCAGCTCGCGTTGTTGTATACGACAAACTCGCGCGCGTTTACCACCGATGTCTGTAACGATTCTTTTGTCTGTGTAAAAAAAAAAAACAAAAAAAAAAAAAAAAGAAACAAGATCATTTTGTGAATCGGCCGATCGTAGATTTTTAAGTATCCACTCATCGTTGTCCCTGATTGTATGTTTTTCGACGAAAGATGCACGGCAAGTTTCGTAATAATAACATTACTGCACGCAACGCGTTGTACGAAGACAAGATGTCAAGCTTCGCCGACGCCAGAGGACGAATTTTGCCGAAATGAATGGCCAGCTTCAGAGTCGCGGTACGATTGTCATTTTGATATGATTTCCTCCGTTTATCGCGACAATCACCTCTCCCCCTCCTCCCCCGAAATCTTTGACAATTGGTAATCATATACGCGTATTATGTGTGTATATATATATATATATATATACACGATATTTCCAATATAAAAGCGAGAGAGACGTGCGTGAGTAGAGAGAAAAAATAAACGAAGAAAGAACTGAACCGGTTCTGTTCGTCGAAATGCGTGTTAGACTGAAGAAACGAGCAATAGCTTTAGTCCGTAGTGCAGCAAATAAAGCAGCGAAAATGTCGTGAAGTGTAGCCGATCAGCTTGTCCGAGAGATGTGTGGATTTTTTTGTTTTCCAGTTAATTTCTTACCGTCAATTTTCTTGCTGTCGATGAGAAGTGACTGACGCGTGCCGACGACACGTGCGACACAGCCAATGGCAACCGGCCAAATTACTTGTTCCGTTCGATTAATAGGCGCGACGAACTTTTCGGAGAAGCTGATCGATTCCACGTTATTTTACGATGTACAACAGTGTTGGGCATTTACGGATATACTTAGGTAAACGATGTCATTGTTATTGACCACTTGGGAAAAAGTATTTACTTTTACGTACAACACACACACATACACACACACACACTTGTATATGTGATAAATACGTAAGTTGATTTTACAACACGTGTAAATCGATAAACTTAGGTTTTATATTTGAAGCAACAACAACAAAAAACGAATAAAATTATTGGCTCTGTCACACACAAAGAAAGTGTTATTACATTTAATTTAAGAGAAGAAAGAAACGCGCGCTTCAATTTGCGAGAGAAATTGATGAAAGATACTATACACACGAAGTGAGTGGCAATTCGCGAGGGCAAGTGGTCAATAATCGCATAGTGATCAAGTAAATGTGTATAAGGGTTTATGTGTAATAAGGGGTACTCTATTATGTGTAGAATACTGAAACTGTCACCTTATAAGTAGTGTAACCAAAATAATATAATGTTTCATCACACTTGAACATCGCGTCTGAAAAGCTATTATAAAGTTGTCTGAGAAACATCTCTGACTCGATCGCGGACGTTTTTCAAATACCTTTCAGATATCTTTTAGACACTTAACTGTGTGTCCAAAAAGAAAAACAAAATACATATAGTAGCTTAAATTACACATAAAGTGATAGTTTAGATATTCTACGCCGTGATTATTATATTCGCCCAAGACTGGATACATGTAGACATTTAAGAAAAGCGGCGAGTAAAAAAAAAGTCGCATCGTGTAAAAAAGTTTACGTGCGAGAAGAACGACGGGGTAAGTTCTACTCTCCTTCGTCCCTTCCATACATACAGACACACACACACACACACACACATTTGTACAATCTCTAATAAAGAAGATTACTATAATTTTATCTTCCCATACGTAAGAAACAAATTTTCGCGTCGCGAAATAAAACAATGCACGCAATAGATCGCGATAGTCAGTTCATTTATTTTGCCATACGCGAAGGAGAGGAACTAATCAGTCCTAAAATCGTGGCATCAACATATCGATTGTGGTAACGAGTTACTGCTGCGCGACGACACACCATCGTCCTTGTCAACACGGCAGTAACAAAGAACTATCATAGGCAGAAAGAGAAAGAAAGAAAGAAAGAGAGAGAGAGAGAGAGAGAGAGAGAGAGAGAGAGAGAGAGAGAGAGAGAGAGAGAGAGA